GCTGACGTGGCCGCAATGGACCGCGCGGAGGGCGGATTTGCTCGTGGAAATCGCGGAGGCGGCCGCATGCCCATGCCGTTCGTGCCAAAGCGTGGTCCGCCGCCTACGGGAGAATTCCGTGGCTTCTGCGGCACTTGCTTCCGCTGTGGCCAGCCGGGGCATGTGGCCAGCGGCTGCCCGGCGATTGGGCATGGTGGCCAAGGACCCGCACCAGTGGTGTAGGGGTCGGGCCATGGGCGCTTGCGCAAGTGGCGCAAGGCGCAAGGCACCCGGTGTGTGCGTAGGCCATTGGGCCCACCCCTTAGGGGCACGGGTGGCAGAGGGCCAGCCCCAGTGTAGGCCAATCAAAGGCCCTAGGATCAGAGCAAGGGAAGGGGAACATGCCCCCTCGGTCCCAAATGATAGCCCGACCTTGCAAGGCGGACTTTGCATGCCTAGGAGCATGTTGAGTAGAGATAAAGCTTGGTTAAAATAAGGAGCCGCGGTCCTTCATTTTTTTTCAGGTCTTGGTCCCCTAATGTAACCAGAGAAAAGGGGGAGCACCACCATAAGAGGCGCAGAAAAAAAAAAAAAAAAAAAAAAAAAAAAAAGAGGGGGGGGGGGGATTGAGCACGGAACGGGGAAGCATAGTGGGTGGCTCAACCCCCGCTGCATGTCACGCAGCACCCCCGGCCGGAGAAGGAAGGGCATCAGGAACACCAATGGCCCGCCACTTACCCACACAGAGTTGCTCCTCGATTGGACATGCAAAAAAAAAAAAAAAAAAAAAAAACAACAGAATTCAAGCATTATGCGAGCCTTTACAAGGCGCCTACCCTCCAACCCGGTGTGCTACACCCTGGACCCTAAGCATTACCCCTCCGTGGGCATACAGGAACAGCCACACCAGCCTCATCTAGGGCTGCCCAGCTTGGCATTGGAAAAAAAAAAAAAAAAAAAAAACGAGTCACGTAAGCATGCGCGCACGCACGCGGTATGGCCCACGAACGGGAACAGCGACAAAACACCGCACGCATGCCACACAAGCACACAAGAGGTGGCTAGAAGAAAGACAAAAAAAAAAAAAAAAAAAAAAAAAAAAAAAAAAAAACACGGGCGTTGAGTCTCAAAACCCAAGAAATGGTAGCGCAAGCGAAGGCGGCAATAAGAGGGTAACATGCGTTCGCGAGTAGAAGCGCGGGTGAAGGCACAAGTTGTGGGAATACGAGGGCACCAAGGGAAGCAAACGTCGGGGCTCAGGTTCGAACGCAAGCTCGGCATGCGTAGGCGTGCAAACCGACACACACGCAGGTCACGCCGCTCAGACCCGCTCAAAGCGCAGGCACCCACCGACCTAAGCATCTTGCTCGCATGTGGCACCTCAACCCGGCACACCCTCCTAAGCCACTAGGCTTCACACTCCCCCCCCCCCCCCCCCCCCCACGCTCTAGGTTTTCCGGTAGGCATCAGCCCTGCAGATGAACTCAAGTATTCGTCCCTTGCTTCTCCTTGCATGATGGTACTCCCACAGGCACCAGACTTTGCGAATGTGCACACAACAGTGACCCCTACGAATACGCGGTTACTGACAAGATGGTCACCAAAATGCGTGGCCGCCTACGTACCACGTTCGCTTGGTGGAGCTCGTGGTGCACTAGCAGTTTCATCCTCTCAGTCATTGCCAAAGGATACTGGATGCCATGGAAACTCGGGCCGCCGCCGGCCTTTCACGATCGCAACCATGCCGGCGCACGCATCCACGAAGCATTCACGCGCACGGCCATCCTTGAACTCACCGAGACCGGCGCGGCCATCCAAATTCCTGCGGCGAAACTGAGATGCATAAGCCCACTCAACGTGGTCGAGCAGAAAGACAAGTGTCGCATGATTCTGGATCTCCGAAAGGTGAACGACGCAATAATCGTCCCCAAAATTAAATATGAGGGACTCAACCGCGTAGCGGACCTCGCCCGCCAAGGAGATTGGATGTTCTCCATCGACTTGAAATCAGGCTACCACCATGTCGACATCCACCCCTCGTGCTGGACGTTCCTCGGCTTTGAATTCGACGGGCGCACATACGCCTTCCGATCCTTGCCGTTCGGCCTCGCCACAGCACCATTCGTCTTCACGCAGCTCATCAAGCAATTAGCTCGGCGATGGCGGGAGCAGGGGGTCCGCGTGATACCCTACGTGGACGATATCCTCTTCCTGTGCTCGACCCAGGCACACGCTCAAGCCACGTGCCAACGGATCGTTATCGATCTCAAGGCTGCCGGGCTCGTACTCAACTCAAAAAAGTCAAAGCTGATACCAACACAGCACCTTCGGTTCCTTGGCGTAGAACTCGACACACAGGCCGGCCGGTTCTCCATCAGCGAGGAGCGGCGAGCCACACTCAATGCCACCCTCCATGCCCTACTGCGTGCAAGCTCAGCCCAGCGGAAAGTCCCAGTCCGGCAACTGGCCCGAGTTACAGGCATGCTGGCATCGATGGCTGTCGCACTCGGCACCACCAGCCGAGCGTTCAGCCACGCCATGCTAGAAACAATCAACGACGCGCCGACATGGACCAGCATGGTCATCCTCTCCCCACCCGCCATCGAAGAGCTGAGATTCTGGATCCAAGAGTTCGACCGTTTCAACGGTGCCCCGTTCCATGTGCGGCACAGCTACGATGCAGTCATCCACGTAGATGCAAGTGCCCACAGCTGGGGTGCCACGCTGGACACATTCCCTGGAGCCGCGATAGAGGCCAGCGCGGCAATGCCCGGAGCCCTTCATCCAACCTCCAGCACACAAAGAGAGCTCGCCGGCGTGCTGTGGGCGCTACAGACGTACGCGCCTAGAATCCGGAAGAAACACGTGCTAGTGCGGGTGGACAACCAGGGCGTGTTCTTCATCCTTCGCAAAGGAGGTTTCCGAAGTCCCGACCTCACCACCATGTGCAAAGGCATCATCCAAAAATGCATGGAGTTCGAGATTCGGCTAATCATCGAATGGATCCCACGCGATCTGAATGGTCGCGCAGACGAGCTCTCCAAGCTAGTCGACCACGATGACTACTCGTTGAAGCTCCCATGGTTTCGCCTCCTCGAGCGTCGCTGGGGGCCCCACTCCATTGACCTATTCGCCAAACCCCAAAATGCACACCTACCGCGTTTCTGCTCTAAGGTCCCCCACCCCGATGCTACAGCAGCCGACGCCTTCTCACTTGCCTGGACGGCTGAGAACAGCTTTGCATTCCCACCGCCCCAACTCATCCCCGCAGTACTCCATCACGCACAACGCACGAGCGCATCTCTCACCCTCATAGTCCCACACTGGCCTGGCGCAAGCTGGTGGCCGCTCCTCCAGCCCTCCCCTCCATCGTGGGACCCACACATCCAAGCACATATCCCTCTTACACACGGCAGCCAGTGTCTTACAGTCGGCACACATAGTCAAGCATTCTCAGGCACAGGATTACCCAACAGCACTATCGTCGCACTCCGCGTGATATTTGACTAACTAGACTCCCTCGCCTGTCCCCAGATCTGCTTCCAAAGCTCCAACATGACCTGCTTTCCATGCTCGCCCGCTCTCGTGCCGACTCGACCATCCGAACATACGAGCCTTACTGGGTGAAGTTCCGCGCCTTCTGCACGAAGGTCAACCTAACGTTCTTGCCGGCATCGGACATGACCCTCGCGCTCTACCTTGTGTATGTCATCCAACGCAAGGCCTCCTTGTCGGTGGTTCAGCTCACATGCTCCGCCGTGAGCTTTGCCCACAGGATGACAGGCTCAACATGCCCAACCACCGGCCCTTTCACCTCCCAAGTGCGCGACTTCGCGAAGCGACACTGCCCGCGCCCTAACAGGATTAAAGAGCCAGTCTCACTCCATCAAGTCCACGATATGGCAGCCTCCTTCCTACAGTCAACTAACCCGGCTGTGTTCCAAAAAGGAGTGATCCCGATTCTCATGTACGCCGGTTTCTTGCGCTACTCGGACCTGGTGGCCATCCAATGGCAGGACATCCAATTTAAAGATGAAGCGATGTGGCTACTCATCCCCCACTCAAAAACCGACCAAGCCGGCCAAGGCACCTGGATCCCTATCGCGGCAAGCCCCGGACCCTTTTGTCCGGTCCAGGGCACCTAGAGGCTCATCCAACTCGCAGGATACAGCCTCCAGTCCTTGGGACCGCTCATTCGGGTCTTCGGACCCCACCTACCGAGCCACGGCACAGCCAGACCGCCCTCATACACCACAATCCGCAACTGGTGCAAGGAAGCCTTAGCGAAAATCGGTCTGGGAGAAGAGCACCTCGGCACCCACTCCTTTCGGAAAGGCACGGCCACAGTTGCTGCCAACTCTGGGGTTCCTGACAGGATCTTCAAACGCCTGGGCCGTTGGCGTAGTGAAACCGCGAAAGAGATGTACGTCACGCCCGCTACCGATCATCTGGTTGGCGCGTCTCGACGCCTGCAAGACCCGGCGGCGGCACCATCCTCTGCACAACACGCTGAGGCACTTCTCCGCCACCGCAAGCCCCCACTGCACATGTCTCAACGACCCCACTTGAAATGAGAACGATGCCTATTGCAAAGGACAAGAAAGCAAGCTTTCTCAATATTATAATTTTTAACACACGTAGTGTTTTTCAAAAATTGTGTATTGTGAAAGCGAACCTGATTGTACTGAAGCGTTGGGCATCGTCGAAGCGCGCTACTCGCCCTTCTCCAACTACATATACGTGGGTTGGAGCTCATTTACCTCCACCCACGTCTCTCATTTTTCAAACGGCTCAGTCAACCTTCCCACCCACCCCCCCCTCTACACAACCGCCCATCTCCAATGGACAGCCGGTCACTTGAACGGGAGCACACAACTAGGATCATGATGTGTGTATGTTTAGATTCTTATAAGCTAGTAAGCGACTATTGTACCATGCCACTTGAAATGAGAACGATGCCTATTGCAAAGGACAAGAAAGCAAGCTTTCTCAATAGGCAAGAAAAACGTGCAGGGTGTTATGTAAAATGCAAACCCAAAAAAGCGGGTACTCTCAAAAATGCGTCATATCATAAGCTATCCCCCGCATAAGCCACCCGTGGGCTGACTATTTCAGCGGGTCTTATATACGGGGGAATACGGGTACCAACCTAACGAAATACGGTACCACCGGTATGCGGCTGTGCCATATGGAAATCATTCTAGAGCGGTTCAAGATGTCCATGTCACATGCGATGAGCACTGAAATAGCCAGCAGATGCTTCGGTATTCTGCATTTTGTGACTGGATATTGTGTGCTTGCGCCTTCAATAACCCCGAAACTCCCTGCGGCTCCACTTTTGCAGCTTACCAGCATGTGTCCTACTTTGCACCACTGCTTACTCCATGTGACACTGCATATCTACGGGTAAAATATGTCCCTCGCGTCGCTTCGTGCCACTATCTACCCCACAATCCTTCCTCACGCAAAACACCATCAATCCGAGTCCATGACAGCAACCAGCCTGCCCTCAACCCACTGCTTCCCACCACCTTTCCCACCTCGCTGTCTTCCCTTAGCCCTCCCTCTCTCCACGCCGCTCCCCCCAGCCACCTCGTCCGCCCGCTCGCTCTGCTCCTCCCCATCAGCTGCGTCCCTCCTGTGGCCACGCCCAGAGGGCAGCGCGGCACTGGCAGCTGCAGCAGCAGGCAGCAGGGCGGGGGTGGCTGGGGGAGGAGCAAGAGGCAGAGCCGCCTGGGAGTGCTGGGGCGGGGCGGGCAGCATGCCACATGGAGCAGCAGCGGGAGGGGTTGAGGGCGATAGGGTTGTGGGAGGGGGTGTGGGTGGTGACGCTGGCAGGTCAGGGGCGGGTGCAGCAAGAGGCTGTAAGGCGGGTGGGTGGGCTGGAGAGGAGCTGTGATGAGCAGCAGTGGCTGCTGGTGGTGGCGGCGGGATGAGAGGGGTCTGTTGAGGAGGCAGTGCCCCTGCTGGCACAGTCCCCGACCTCCCGGCACTGCTTTCCGCAGCCATGCCTTCCAATCCCTGTGCATCACCCTCCTGCACTGCCTCATCACCCCCCTCCCTACCCACCAACTCGTCTCCTCCTAGTCCCCCCCTCCATTCGTCTCCAGCACCCCCGTGCTTCACCGTGCCGTTCACCCCGCCTGCCACAGCACCTGCAAGCGCATCCACGGGCATGGGCACAGGCTTCCTTGCTCCCCCGCCTGACTCTGCATCCCCCCACTCCAGCCGCCCCTCCCCCCCTCGCCCATTCGCACCACCTTGACTTATCCATGCACCATTCGTTTCCATCCGCTCGTCCTCCCCTCCCACTGGAGCCCATTCGCCCCTCACTGTGCTGCTGCTGCCTGCTCCGCCCCCTTGCCCCCCATTGCCCAGCCCCCCACCCCTGCTCGCCACCACCCTCTCCCTCCCTGCCTCTGCTTCTGCCCTGTGCCCTGCACTGTTCCCTCGCCCTGCCCCCTGCGCCTCTCCCTCTGCTCCTCCAGCCTGCTCCCCGCCCTGCCCCTGCTCAACTGCACGCCAACCCATGGCGCCAGCACCACTGCCACTGCCGCTGCCATTCAACGTAGCACGCCAGTCCCCCCCGGGCGCTCCCTGGGCTTGCGTGGGAGCGTGCGGTTGGGAGCCCGGCAGGTCTGCCTGTGCCACGGCGCGCGCCGCCTGGTCCAGCAGGCGCCTTGTCTCCAGCAGCGCCGCCATGGCCGTGGCGTCGCGCACCGCCCCCCCCGCCTCCACCGCCCCCGCCATGCGCTGCGCCTCCCGCATCAACACCCTGCCACGGCCACGGGGGACAGGGCGGGCACCCCAGGGGGGGGAAGGGGGAGACACACACACACACAAGGATGCACGGAATGAGAGGTACTGAAAAGAGCAGAGGGTATTGGGGGGGGGGTGGGGTTCAGGTTAATTATGAAGGGTACGAGAGCAGAGCAGGGCGAGGAGCGAGGTATTGCGAGTGGCCGGGCGAGGCGAGGGAATGGGCAGAGACGTACCTTGCCCTGTCTGCCAGCTGGCGGCGCCGCCTGGCTATGAGCTGGCGAGCCATCCGCCTGTGGTGGGCAGCAGGAGAGGGCGTTCCCTGCGATGGAACGGATGCCACAGAGGGCGACTCAGGACGACGGGTGGCCGCGCCATTGCCTGCCTGCACTCCCTCGAGCATCCCACCTCTCACTCCGCCCTCCCCTGCACCCCCGCCACACTCACTCCCCTCCTTCGCCTGCCTCCCGTCCACCACCCTAAAACCCCAACCACTCTCTCCACCGGCCCAACTCCTGACATCCTCCACATCGCTTTCCACCACCTCCTCCTCCTCTTCCTCCTCCGCATCCTCTCCCTCTCCCTCCCCCTCTCCCTCCCCCTCTCCCTCCATTTCCTTCTCCCCTTCCTCGTCCACCTGCAAGTCACCCGTCCCTAGTGTGCCCATCTGCACAGCCACCCCTCCGCTCGTCTCTGCCTGCGCCCCCCCATGTGCCTCGCTGCTGCCTGCCTGCCGCACGATCACCACTCGCTTGAACCGCACGCCCGCCCCATCCCCCTCCCCCTGCGCCTGCCCTGCGCTGGGCTGAGCGCCCTGCCCGTCGCCCCCTACCTGCGCGCCCGCGCTCTCCCCTGCCATCACCGCCTGCACGAACGCCTCGTCTGGGTTGCGCACCACCACCACCTCCTCCTCCGAGCCCCTCCCTGCTGCGCCCTCCCCACCCTCGCCTCCTCCCTCCGCCCCCTGCGCCCCCGCTGCTTCTGCTCCTGCAGCTGCTGCTGCTGTGGCGGCGGCGGCGGCAGCGGCGTGCCTCCTGCCGTCGCTGCGCTCGCTGGCAGGCCCGCGCTCTGCCCTGCGCCTCTCCGCGCCCCCTCTGCCCGCCCTGGGCGTGGCAGCCAGCGTGGCGGCAGGCGGTGCAGTGGAGGCGGTGGCGGGCGACTGGGAGCGCTGCACGGCCCTCATGCCAAGTGCCACTTTGCTGCGGTACTCCTGTCAGCGCACAGGAGAGGGTGGGGGAGAGGGCCGGAGAGATACACGCCAGTGGGGACAGGCGCTACATATGTGTGAGGAGGAGAGGGCGAGAGAGGGCGAGAGAGGGCGAGAGAGGGCGAGCGAGGGCGAGAGAGGGCGACCGAGGGCGAGGGAGGGCGACCGAGGGCGAGGGTGGGCGAGAGAGGGCGAGAGAGGGCGAGAGAGGGCGAGCGAGGGCGAGAGAGGGCGAGAGAGGGCGAGAGAGGGCGAGCGAGGGCGAGAGAGGGCGAGAGAGGGCGAGCGAGGGCGAGAGAGGGCGAGAGAGGGCGAGCGAGGGCGAGAGAGGGCGGGCGAGGGCGAGAGAGGGCGAGAGAGGGCGAGCGAGGGCGAGAGAGGGCGAGAGAGGGCGAGAGAGGGCGAGCGAGGGCGAGGGAGGGCGAGCGAGGGCGAGAGAGGGCGAGAGAGGGCGAGCGAGGGCGAGAGAGGGCAAGAGAGGGCGAGAGAGGGCGAGCGAGGGCGAGAGAGGGCGAGAGAGGGCGAGCGAGGTCGAGAGAGGGCGGGCGAGGGCGAGAGAGGGCGAGAGAGGGCGAGAGAGGGCGAGCGAGGGCGAGAGAGGGCGAGCGAGGGCGAGAGAGGGCGAGCGAGGGCGAGGGAGGGCGAGCGAGGGCGAGAGAGGGCGAGAGAGGGCGAGCGAGGGCGAGAGAGGGCGAGAGAGGGCGAGCGAGGGCGAGAGAGGGCGAGAGAGGGCAAGAGTGGGCGAGAGAGGGCGAGAGAGGGCGAGAGAGGGCGAGCGAGGGCAAGAGAAAGCGAGCGAGGGCGAGAGAGGGCGACCGAGGGCGAGCGAGGGCGAGAGAGGGCAAGAGAGGGCGAGCGAGGGCGAGAGAGGGCGAGAGAGGGCGAGCGAGGGCGAGGGAGGGCGAGCGAGGGCGAGCGAGGGCGAGGGAGGGCGAGCGAGGGCGAGAGAGGGCGAGAGAGGACGAGAGAGGGCGAGCGAGGGCGAGAGAGGGCGAGCGAGGGCGAGTGAGGGCGAGAGAGGGCGAGAGAGGGCGAGCGAGGGCGAGAGAGGGCGAGAGAGGGCGAGCGAGGGCGAGGGAGGGCGAGCGAGGGCGAGCGAGGGCGAGGGAGGGCGAGCGAGGGCAAGAGAGGGCGAGAGAGGACGAGAGAGGGCGAGCGAGGGCGAGAGAGGGCGAGCGAGGGCGAGTGAGGGCGAGAGAGGGCGAGCGAGGGCGAGAGAGGGCGGGCGAGGGCGAGAGAGGGCGAGAGAGGGCGAGCGAGGGCGAGAGAGGGCGAGAGAGGGCGAGAGAGGGCGAGCGAGGGCGAGGGAGGGCGAGCGAGGGCGAGAGAGGGCGAGAGAGGGCGAGCGAGGGCGAGAGAGGGCAAGAGAGGGCGAGAGAGGGCGAGCGAGGGCGAGAGAGGGCGAGAGAGGGCGAGCGAGGTCGAGAGAGGGCGGGCGAGGGCGAGAGAGGGCGGGCGAGGGCGAGAGAGGGCGAGAGAGGGCGAGCGAGGGCGAGAGAGGGCGAGAGAGGGCGAGAGAGGGCGAGCGAGGGCGAGGGAGGGCGAGCGAGGGCGAGAGAGGGCGAGAGAGGGCGAGCGAGGGCGAGAGAGGGCAAGAGAGGGCGAGAGAGGGCGAGCGAGGGCGAGAGAGGGCGAGAGAGGGCGAGCGAGGTCGAGAGAGGGCGGGCGAGGGCGAGAGAGGGCGAGAGAGGGCGAGAGAGGGCGAGCGAGGGCGAGAGAGGGCGAGCGAGGGCGAGAGAGGGCGAGAGAGGGCGAGAGAGGGCGAGAGAGGGCGAGCGAGGGCGAGAGAGGGCGAGAGAGGGCGAGCGAGGGCGAGAGAGGGCGAGAGAGGGCAAGAGTGGGCGAGAGAGGGCGAGAGAGGGCGAGAGAGGGCGAGCGAGGGCAAGAGAAAGCGAGCGAGGGCGAGAGAGGGCGACCGAGGGCGAGCGAGGGCGAGAGAGGGCAAGAGAGGGCGAGCGAGGGCGAGAGAGGGCGAGAGAGGGCGAGCGAGGGCGAGGGAGGGCGAGCGAGGGCGAGCGAGGGCGAGGGAGGGCGAGCGAGGGCGAGAGAGGGCGAGAGAGGACGAGAGAGGGCGAGCGAGGGCGAGAGAGGGCGAGCGAGGGCGAGTGAGGGCGAGAGAGGGCGAGAGAGGGCGAGCGAGGGCGAGAGAGGGCGAGAGAGGGCGAGCGAGGGCGAGGGAGGGCGAGCGAGGGCGAGCGAGGGCGAGGGAGGGCGAGCGAGGGCGAGAGAGGGCGAGAGAGGACGAGAGAGGGCGAGCGAGGGCGAGAGAGGGCGAGCGAGGGCGAGTGAGGGCGAGAGAGGGCGAGAGAGGGCGAGCGAGGGCGAGAGAGGGCGAGAGAGGGCGAGCGAGGGCGAGGGAGGGCGAGCGAGGGCGAGTGAGGGCGAGAGAGGGCGAGAGAGGGCGAGCGAGGGCGAGAGAGGGCGAGCGAGGGCGAGGGAGTCAGGGCGAGCGAGCAGGGTGAGGCGGCGCATGGTGGCGGGCATGAGCTTGTGGGTGGGCAGCACGGGCGCCTGTCATATTAACGCCACGCCATAGCCAGTGCTGAGCACCCCTGACGTACCCCCTAGCCGCACCCCTTCCGTATCCCCTGCCTGCATGCGCTACGTCTAGGTGCAACGCTCCTTGCTGTGACTCACAGGGTCGGCCCACTTGGCTTTGATGGCGGCGGATATGCGCTGCCGGTGCTCCTCGCTCTGCCCGCCCCGCCTCACCGGCGCGCGCTTCTCGCCCCCTCCCCCACTCGCCGACCGCTCTCCCGCCTCTCCCCCCTTTGAAGCCGCCGAGCCCTCGCTCCCGCTCCCCCCTCCAGCATCCCGGCCCGTGCCAACGCGGGCACCGCCCCCTTTGTGTGCGCGCTCTCCCGCGCGCGCCGCCCTGTGCCTGGCGCGCGTGGGCGGGTCCCCCCTGGCCCGTGCGAGCACCTGGTCCTTGTAGAGGATGCGCCCGTTGCCGCACCGCACCAGCTCGCGGTCGCCCGCCAGCCCCACGCGCGCTGCCGCCGCCAACGCCGCCCGCCACTCCGCCTGCAGCGCCCCGGCCGCCAGGCGCTCCTCCTTCTTGCGCTGCCACGCCACTCGCATGCGCTCGCGGATCAACGAGCGCGTCTCCGCACTGCCGCGCGCAGGGGGGGGGGCATGGGGGAAGGCACAGGGTGGCAGGCGAGGAGGCAGAGACAATGTGAGGGGGGAACCGTCCTCGCAGCACAGGCACAACTCGAGGATATCGGGCTACGTGTGCGCGAGCAGGGAGGGGTGGCGCCATTGGGCTCGTAGCGTGGCGTACCTTTGAGTGTGCCCGTGGTCGCGAAGCCGCTCGCGCACCTGCCGCGGGCAGCGGGACGCAAAGATGTGAGGATGTGAGGATTCATGAGGCAGAGAGTGGCAGTTGGCGAGACAGAGAGAGCGGACACGGGAGCAGAGGGCAAGGGGCAAAGTACGCTAAGCCTGCGGGATCGCTGGGGCGCGCAGGAGCACGCGGCGAGACAGTGAGGGCGCACAAGGAGGCGGCGGCAGAGTACCTTGGGGTCACTCATGGCTTGCTTCGTTCTCTCGCGGATCTTCGCTCGAACCTCTGTGAAGGCACAAGGGGGGAGGGACGGCGCGCTTAATACGGAGTAAGTGGGGAAGGGGGGCCAGGTGGGGCCGACGACAGATGCGAGTGCGAGTGCTAGAGCGGTGGGGTGGGGGCAAGTCGGCACGACTTATGCGCGCAGCAGGCGCGGGCTCTACTTGCGCTCGCGGATCTCCCCACCCCAGCGCGCACCTGGGCTCCACTGGCGGCCCTTGTTCCACGGCACCTTCCCCTTGTTCGCCTGGCTGATGCGTCCTCTCCGCCGCTTCTCCTTCTCCGCCTCGCTCTCCTCCCCCTCCTCCGCGCCTCCTTCCCCCTCCGCCTGCCCCACCGCCCGCTGCTCTTCCCGCGCCTCCTCCCCGCTGCGCCATCCCTTTTCGTGCGCATTGTCCCCCGCCCAGAACCCGATGCCCTGCCGCGTGCGCATCGCGCCATCCCCGTCAGCCGCTTCCCCCTGCGCGCTCTCCTGCGCGCGCCACGCAGCCAGCAGGTCAGCGCGCGCCGACGCGGCGGCCATCACCTGCCGCCACTGCGGGGGCGGCCGGCCGACGGCTCTGCGGCGAAGGCGGGGAGGGAAGGGCGCGTGCGGAGGCGACGCGAGCATTGCTGCGTGCAGGCGGCAGCGGAGGCGGAGGCGGCGCGCGCGATGCAGGCTGAAACCCGCTGGGCGCGGGCTGCTGGAGCCTGTGCCCAAGGCAAGGCGCCGAGTGAGTCCCCGTGGGCCTCGCGCGTGGCGGGCGCTCTCCGCCGCTGCTGGGCTGACCAGCCACACGCGCACCTGCCGCCACCCCTCGCGCGTGCCGCCACACCCGGCTGTCGCAGCACGCAGCCCCCCCCCAAAACCTGCTTTACTCCCGCCCCGCTCGTCGTGGGCGGCGGTGCAGCGCAGGCAGCGGAGAGGCAGGCGATCATGGTGGCGAGGCGGGCAGGAGGTGAGGGAGAGGCGAAGAGCGCTGACGGGTGGCGCGGACAGCAGCATCGCAACGAGGCCGATCCACTCCGCTCAGGGGCGGCGGCGGGTTCCTATGCGCGGCGCGGGCGTCGTAAACGATCATAAGCTGGGCGCATCAAGGAGAGACTCTCCTGACGGGATCGAACCGTCGCAAATAGTGGGGACTTCTATGCTAACTTCGTTCGGGTGACGCTCGGCATACTGGAGAGGGGATCGTGTCGACGGAAAGCGTGGCTTCAGGACGCATAGGGCAGCGGATGTCTGAGGAACGTGGGCCAGCTGCCACTGCTCGCTGACCCGCGACTGTTTCGGGGGGATGACCACACGAAGTGGTAATTCAGGGTTTAGGGTGTTCCGTTTGACTGTGATGGTGGGAGGATTTTTGCTTACGTCTTTCACTCATCAGGTTCGCTAAGCGCGTCCCCAATATCATGTCTAGAAAGGGGCAGTTTTTGGATGGAATTTTATCTTAGAAGACGCAAGACTTGCATGACTGGTATGCTATGAATCCATCTTTCATTTGCCATATCGGAATTACAAATTTCTTGAGATGTCAAGCGTTGAATAAATATGTGTGCAGGTTTTCCAGGTTCTTGTAACTACGTACTTGATAATATAACATATCGGATATGACACTTGAAACCCGCGGCCCAAATTGTTCAAACGCAAGGCGTATGAACGTTGACCCTCAGGCAGTACGAAATACGCTGGAAAATCGCGAGGCCGTTTTCTCTCGCAAATTCAACGCTTGTCGTGTGTTTCACCTCGCCACGTAAACAGGATACACCGTTCTGTGCCTGCGTCTGCAGTTATCACGAAATTACTCACTTGGGGCATCCCCTACAGCAGTAGGGACCCTACTTTCAGACCGCAGAGCGTTCAACCGAGAACAATGATTATGTTAAGATAGATTGTCACCAATGTCAGACTGTCGCCAGCTAGCCGTGTTAAGTGGAAATGTTTATAATCAATTTTATTCATTTAAAAAAAAAAACAAAAAACAAAAACACAAGGCTTGCAACAGTACTGTACCAAGATCCCAGTACCCCCGGGGCGTCCCACGAGCGCAGACGGCTTCAATGAAACGAGTCCACGTCGCCACTATGGACAGAGGCTTCAGCCCGCTCTCGCGAAACTAGTCACACGGCGACACTCGGTCGTCGGAAAGACGAGAAACTGTGGAGAACAATTCCCCGGTAAGCGTTAGACGCCACTGGCGGAAATGGCGGGTCGATCCAACGGAGCCACGGGCCGCTAAGCGCGTTCGCCGCGGATTCGTCTGGCGAGCTGGATGTCCTTGGGCATGATGGTGACGCGCTTGGCGTGGATGGCGCACAGGTTCGTGTCCTCGAACAGCCCCACCAGGTACGCCTCCGCCGCCTCCTGCAGCGCCATCACGGCGGAGCTCTGGAAGCGCAGGTCCGTCTTGAAGTCCTGCGCGATCTCGCGCACCAGGCGCTGGAACGGTAGCTTGCGGATCAGCAGCTCCGTCGACTTCTGGTACTTGCGGATCTCGCGAAGAGCCACCGTGCCGGGGCGGTACCGGTGAGGCTTCTTCACGCCGCCCGTGGCGGGCGCCGACTTCCTTGCGGCCTTGGTGGCGAGCTGCTTGCGGGGCGCCTTGCCCCCCGTGGACTTGCGGGCCGTCTGCTTCGTACGAGCCATGGGAGTGACTTGGAAAAGGCGACAGCACGTGAACTATGAGAGCTGAGAGCGAACTAAGAGGGAAGAGTAGAAGGCTGACTGTGAGCTGAGCACAATGAAAATGTTGAAAGTTTAGCCCTTTTGTGCTTGCTGAGGCTGACCCTCAGTCGACCTGCTTGCCTGCTCGGCGTGGCCTTGGGTTGCTTGCTCGGGTTTGCTTGACGCCAGTGGTTGGTTTCAAACCGCGAAATCAAACCCAACCAGCCAAACCTTTTGCGACACTCACTCACAGCCGTCAAGATGAACGGTTGCAATGACTCACGCCGTTGCACAGGCCTGATTGGCCAAAACGTCACCCAAGGGATCGTCGGCCTCCAGCTCCAAACCATAATGAAAGGGAGCGGGTGTAGTTCATCCGAAAGAATGTGTGGGGTCAGCAAAAAAACGCACTAAAGATATTTCCACATAAGAAATTGTACCATAATCTCCCGGCCAATGCCTACTTTCTGATTTTTACTACTCTGAAATTTGGGAGTGGTTTTTTTAATTACTCTGAAAATCAGAGTGACCCCCAATATTTTCTCTGATTTTCCAGGGTTTTTTTCCTCTCTACAACATTTACACTGACAGTACAAATGGGATTTCTAAGTAACTCTCTGCAGTAGAGTGGCGAAAAAAAACAGCGAAATGCGCATGTGGGGAGAAAACAGCAATCTTGCAACTGCACTTGCTGCTGCAGCGGCGGATGCTGCGGTGGGTGTTGCTGTTGGTCGGCCGGCCTGTATTTGCGGCAGCCCAAATGGCCACCGCCCTTGCCGCGATCTCGACCGTTCCTGTTGTTGCGACTGTCAACTTATAAATATGTTTATACGTAGAAGTTATAGGCTAGATAGGTTGGTGTTCATAGAGGGTACAACTCCTGTTAAATTATATATGTTAGTATATAATTGTAGGCTTGGTAGTGGTTACTGAACATTACTGTAGAGGGTAAAACACCCCTCTTTGTATCCCTCTCTCTTCTTTCCTAGTTCTCTTTTCTCTCGACATTCTCACTTACCTCCTAGATCTATATCTCACGCCATTTTCATAGCTCCTCCTATTCCTACCTAGCCTAACTTCAAGACAACTCCAACCCTACATCCTCCCCTGTACTACCTTGTTCTGGCCATTCTGCTATTCTAACATGGTATCATAGTAGGTTAGGTCTGCCCACCCCTCACCCTAGCCTAACGCCCCGCCGTTCCCCTAGCGCGCCCCACTAGTACCTAGCGCCCCGCCGGCCTTTAATGCCCCGACGACCCCTCTCGCGCCACCCGGTCCCTTTGTGCCCCTCGCGCCCTGCCCGGCCTTCGCGCCCGTTAGCCCCCCTGCGCCCCACCAGCCCATCACGCCCCGCTGGTCCCCTACGCGCCCCGCCGGCACTTAGTGCTCCGCTGGCCCCTTACACGCCCCACCGGCCCTTAGCGCCCCACTGGTCCCTTACACGCCCCACCGGCCCTTAGCGCCCTGCCGACCCCTTGCGCGCCCCGCTGGTCCCTTACGCGCCCCGTCGGCCCCTCGCGCCCCGCCCGGCCCTCGCACCCGGCTGGTCCCTCCTGCGCCCTGCCGGCCCTTAGCGCCCCGCCGCCCTCCCCTCGCGTGCCCGCCGGCACTTAGCGCCCTGTCGGCCCCGCTAGTCCCTTAGCGCCTCGCCGACCCCTCGAGCCTCGCTGGACCCTTACACCCCCCACCGGCCCCTCGCGCCCCAACCGGCCCTCGCGCCCCGCTGGTCCCTTTCGAGCCCCGCCGGCCCATCACGCCCCTCCGGCCCCTCGCGCCTTGCCAGTCCATCGCCGGGCTTCGCGCTCTGTCAACCCGCCATGCTCTGTCGGCCCCGTGAGCCCCAAATGGCCCTGTCATCTCCGCTCGGTCTTCCTGCCGGGGAGTTCTGCCGCCGCGTCGCTGTGCCGCTGTGTAGCTGTGTCGCTATGCCGCCGTGCCGCTGAGTAGCTGTGCCGTTGTGCTGCTGTGTCACTATGCCGCTGTGCCATTCTGGAGCTGTGTCGCTGAGGTCGCACGATGCTGGACACTGTACTCCGCCTGGACGTGGAGGAGCATGCGATCGACTTCGTCGCCTGGCTTGTCGATCTCCGTCGTCACCTCACAGGTCAGCGCCAGGATGGGCACTCCCTAGCTGTGCATGTTGATAGCTTGCTTCCCCGCCCCCCCGCGCCTGACCCCCTCCCTACTGTCCCCACCACTGCTCAGCGTGAGGCCTTTTCAGCTGCTGCGCTTGCTCAAGTTGTCTGGGATTTCCGCGATGCACTAGTGCAGCTAGCCATTAGTCATGCTCTTCCCCTGTCTGAGCGTCTGCGCTTCACTGCTGTCGCGAATGCCCAGGATTTCTTAAATGCAATCATTGCGTGCTACTCCATGCCCGCCTCTGGCTCTGCTGGCCGCCTGATCCTCCCCATGCTGTTCCCTGATCTTGTCGCCTTCCCTACTATCGCTGACCTAGCCACTCACCTCCGTGCACTAGAGGCTAGCTACCGCGCCTCTAGCACTAACGCCCAGCTCATTGCCTTCCCTCCGCCGTTCTGCACTACACTGTACCTCATTGCCATACGCCTTCTAGACCGCTTAGCCACTGCCCGCGACCACTTCCTTAGTCAGCACCTACACTGAGGGAAAAAACCGTCCGGATGTTTGGCACGAAGTTGGGTTTTTAGGCTTTAAGACTACTGTATGGTAAATTTGCAAGATGCATGGTGGTACGCGTTGGGAGAGGCACAAAGTGGATGCGTTCACAGCACTAAGAACTAGAATAGTACATTGGATCCAACTCATATTCCAAAAGATATACAACGAGTACATCCGGACAGTTTTTTCCCAGGACAAAGAGCAAACTTCCGAACAACGTTTCTAGTACCTAGTCCACCTACTCTTGGCGTTGATCACCATCCGCACCCTCCTAGGCATGTTATCTATGGGGTTAGTGCAGACCTTTGCATGAAGCTTCTCGCACTCTTCCTGGACCCACCATTTTGCATAAGGGGGTGAGCACAAGGAAAATTGCAAAGTATTTGAGCGTATGCATAAGTATTGTACACAAATTCTGAATGAATGTTATCTCAGAGACTAGCCAAGCCGAGGGGTGGCCAAAGATGCCATTAGTTAAATGGTCCCGGCTTATCATGGGTCGTCTTCGTTGTATCGTTCTAGGGTAAAATCACGAATAGAGTGGCAAAATCTAGCATTCCCGCCACGAATCTTAGGGTAACAGAGCACGGTCGACTGAACATCCTTTCACTGTGTGAACCATGTTAAAATCCGCGGGTCTAGTGACGGGGCAGCAGTCGAAGAAACCTCGACTGTTTGGGAAGAATATCTGGATTGAGGTCTGGTGAGAAAAAGGGTCACTCCAGCGCAACATACTTATGCTCTCCAAGGCATTCCATGTCATTTTCCCTGCCTAGGCTTGGAATGGCTCGGAGAGCATGGATATGTAGCTCTGGAGTGCCCCTCTTCCTCACCAGACCTCAACCCTGATATTCTTCCCAAACAGTCGAGACTTCTTCAACTGATGCACTGTCACTAGACTCGCGGATTTTAACATGATTCTAACAATGAAAGGATGCTCAATCGACCGTGCTCTGTTACCCTAAGTTTCGTGGCGGGTATGCTAGATTTTGCCACTCTATTCGTGATTTCACCCTACTCTGATTCGACGAAAACAACTCATGATAAGCCGGGACCATTCAAGTAATGGCATCTTTGGACACCCCTCGGCTTGGCTAGTCTCAGAGATTACATTCAATCTGAATTCGTGCACAATACTTATGCATACGCTCAAATACTTCGCAATTTTCCTTGTGCTCACCCCCTTATGCAAAATGGTGGGTCAAGGAAGAGTGCAAGAAGCTTCATGCAAAGGTCTGCACTAACCACATAGATAACATGCCTAGGAGGGTGTGGATGGTGATCAACGCCAAGAGTAGGTGGACTAGGTACTAGAAACGTTGTTCGGAAGTTTGCTCTTTGTCCTGGGAAAAAACTGTCCGGATGTACTCGTTGTATATCTTTTGGAGTATGAGTTAGATCCAATGTACTATTCTAGTTCTTAGTGCAGTGAACGCATCCACTTTGTGCCTCTCCCAACATGTACCACCGTGCATCTTGCAGGTTTACCATACAGTAGTCTCAAAGCCTAAAAACCCAACTTATTGCCAAACATCCGGACGGTTTTTTCCCTCAGTGTAGGTGACCTCACCCTTACCGTCTTTGTCATCGCCCTATCTGAGATAGAGACTCGCCAGCGCACTATCGCTTAGTCGAGCGGTGTTGCGGCAGTCCCTATCTTTCAGGGCTGTACGCCCTCCTAGTGCACGTACGCAGACCTTTCAGCCGCGATCACTGCGATTGCCCCTGCCGCTGAAACCGCAGCTGCGCCCGCATCGGGGCCGTCGTGGCCCAAAGGGGGGGCGTGGTGTCGGGGGTGGTGGTGGTGGTGGTGGTGGCGGGGACAGTGGGTATGACGAGGGGATCGGGGGCCGGTGCCCAGGAGCAGCAGCAGCCGCAGCAGTAGCAGCAGTAGTCGTGGGCCCGCCTCCCGCCGGGGTGGCCGCTGTCCTTTACCCTTGACTCTGGTGTGTCTGCGTGCTTCTTCCGCGACCATGCTGCACTCACGCCGCTTGCAGCGCCTGCCGCTGTCGCACTTGCTGACCCCTCCTCTGATCCTGTCGTTGCCCGTAGCTAGACTACCCTTCCCTGACCAGCGGTTCCCTCGGGTTCTCTTACAGGCCTGCACATCCATTTGTTTTCCAGAAACCTAGTTAGTGTCGGCTGTCTTCAGAACCTCGGCGTTACCACTATGTTCCCTGGTCACGAGCGGTAGGCTATCTGTACCGAGGCCGCCTCAGGTGCCCCCTTGCAACGCCAGCACCCCCGAGCCCCTATCCCTGGGCCGCGTCGCGAGCGCTACTTTCTCATGCTCGTCGACGACTACACCCGCTATACCACGGTGTTTCCCTTGGAGCGGAAAGCCGATGTTCCTGACGTTCTTATCATGTGGGTCGTAGCTGCGCGAATCCACCGCGGTCTCCCTGTACTGTGTTTCCACTCCGACCATGGTGGCGAGTTCGCCTCTAGTCGGCTTGGACAGTTCTGTCGTGCGGAGGGCATCACTCAGTCGTACACCCTACCGGACTCCCCGCAGCAGAATGGGGTCGCTGAGCGTCACATTGGTTTGGTCATGGAGGTGGCTCGTACCTCCATGATCCATGCCGGTGCACCCCATTTTCTGTGGCCATTCGCCGTTCGCTACGCCGCTCACCAGCTTAACCTGTGGCCGCACTCCCAGCGGCCGCAGGTTTCGCCGACCCTTCTTTGGACCGAGTTCCCTGGTGACGTGTCTGCGTTCCACGTCATGGGTTGCGTTGCTCACGTTCGTGCCTCTGGCACGGACAACCTCACTGCCCACACTGTCCTCTGTGTCTTCCTCAGTTTCCCCTTTGACTCGTCTGACTGGCACTTTTACCACCCGCCATCTCACCGCTTTTTTCACTCCCGTGACGTCACTTTCGACGAGTCTGTCGCCTTTTACCACCGCTTTCCCCACCGAGGTCTCCCGATTTCCCCGCCTCTGTTTCTGGTTCCCACTCCCCGGTAGCCCTTGCTCCCCTCCCTCCCCGTCTTGCTCCGTTTGGTGTGTCTCATGTCACTCCCCTCCTGTCGGTTGTCCCGGTCGAGGAGTTGGCTGACTCTGGTGGCCCCGCGGCTTGTTTCTCGCCGCCTGTTGCTCCCCCGGTATCTCCTCCTGTGCCGTCGCAGCAGCCGTCGCCGTCGCCGCTGCAACAGCAGCCGCAGCCGTTGTGGTAGCCGCAGCGGCAGCCGCCGTTGCCGCCGCCGCAGCAGCAGCCGTCCGTGGACTCGGGGGTGCTGGCGTTGAGGAGGGTGCTAGTCCTGGGGTTCTTGTCATGGCTTGTCTTGGCGGTTCTGGGGGTGCTCGTTCTGGGGGTGCTGGAGTGGAGTGTTCTGGAGGTAGCCGTGGTGCAGCTGGCGGTCCAGGAGTCGGCATGGAGCAGTAGCAGCAGCAGTCGCCACCGGTGTCTGCCCTTTGCCTGCTCAGCCTTCCCTCCCCTGACCGCTCGCCTGTGCCTCGCCCACCGCCTCCTCCCCTTCCTGTCTACGTCCCTGTGTTTCCTCCAGAACTTGCTGGTGAACTTGGGGTCTTAGTCTCAGTTGAGTGTGGTTGGAATGCCATGTTGTAAGTTGATGTAACAAAGGAATAGTTGTGCAGGTCGGTGCGTGTTGTCGTGTGTGTCGGGATGAAGTGTCCTATTTTGGATAATTTGTCGATGACGATGAGGATTGCGTCATGACCGCTTATGGTAGTTGGCAACCCGGTTATGAAATCCATGCTAACCACTTGCCATGGCTGTTCTGGGACAGGAAGAGGCTGTAGCAGTCCTGCCTTTTTCTACTTGCTGCTCTCCATCCGCTGATATGTATCACACGAGGTGCCATGTGGGGCCATTAGTAGTGCTTTTCAATACCGGTGAGCGTCTTGTTGCTACCGAAGTGTCCCGCGTATAGAACATCGTGGTATTCTTCGAGTAGTAACTGGCGCAAAGGAGGGTAATTGGGTACCCTGATTTTCGTTGATCCCTTACGTTACGCGACGTCACTGTCCCACTGTAGCAGGTGTCGCTTTTATGCTAAAGGAATTTCGGGGTCAATGGCGTACCTGTGTGTGAAGAGTCCCTTGAGTAGTGGGTTCATCCCTTCGACCTGGATAGCGGCAACGTGTGCAGGCCGGCTGAGAGCGTCTGCTTTGTTTTTGTGGCCGGGCTTGTACACGATGTCATAGTGGAAGCGCGTCTCGAGGAAGTCAATCCACCGGACATGCTGCATGGAGAGGCTTGGTTCAGTCTTCAAATATTTCAGGCTGCAGTGGTCGGTGTAGACGGTTGTTTTTCGTCCTTCGAGATAACATCTCCACGTTTTGAAGGTGATGATAATAGCAAGGGCATCCTTGTCATGTATCGGGTAGTTAAGTTCTGCCCCATGTAGTTTCTTGCTGAGGTAGGCGATTGGTTGCGGTCCATTCCCCCGGTCTTGCATCAAGACTGCTCCCACTACCTGGTCACTAGCGTCAGCTTCGATAACGTAGTCGCGTTCGGGGTATGGCAAGATGAGTACAGGTGTGGACGTGAGTGCTTGTTTCAGCTGCTCCATGGAAACCTGATGCTTTGGTTCCCACTTATAGGGCGTGTTCTTCTTCAGCAGATTCGTGAGTGGTGTTGAGATTTTCGCGCACTGTGGCACGAACCTGTTGTAATAGTTAGTGAATCCTAGGAACTGCTGCAACTCCTTCACGTTCTTGGGTGTCTTCCACATGCGCTAAACTTTTATCTTCTTGGGGTCGACGTGAATTCCTTGAGCGCTCACCATGTGTCTTAGGAATTAGACTTTCTCGAGGGTGAATTCGCTCTTGGATAATTTGACGTAGAATGGTTCTCGTCGAAGAATGTCGAAGACACGTCGCATGTGTTGGACGTGCTGCTGCATGTTGCGCGAGTAGATGAGGATGTCATCCAGGTACACCACCACGCATTCGTCCAAGAGTGGGCATAGACTGTGGTTCATTTCGGCTTGGAACGTTGCCGGTGCGTTGGTGAGTCCGAACGGCATTACCAGATACTTGTACGACCCGTACCCAGTTCTGAAGGCAGTATTGTGGATGGAATTGTCCATCATTCGTATCTGCCAGTATCCGGACCGCAGATCCAGTTTGGAAAATACCGTGGCTCCCCGAAGCTTGTCAAGCAGGTCATCGATTTGTGAAATTGGGTATTTGTTTTTTATGGTCTTCTTGTTGAGAGCTCGGTAATCGATGCACATGCGCAGGCTTCTGTCTGGTTTCGGTGTGAAGAGTAGTGGGGCACCGTATGGCGAAGTGGATGGTCGGATGAGACCTTTTGCGACGAGATACTCGTTCTGTTTGTTCATGTTGGCTAGCTCCGTGGGGCTGAGCCGATATGGTGCTCGGAAGGTCGGCTTCGAACTTGTTTCTTCAACGATCTCGTGTTGGTGCATTCGGTATGGCGGCGACTCGTTCAGAAGGTCGTCGGGAAGATTTTCTCGGAACTCCTTCAGTAAATCCTTAAAAATTTTGTGGATGTTCTGAGGTTTTCTCTCCATCGTTTTCCACATCTGTCGCTATCGCCAGGAATACGATGTCGGTTCGCTTTACGTCCTTCTCGAAACTTGCGAGTGTCTCCCCTGGGATATCTCCTGTATCGTCCCAATTGGGTAGCTAGACTCTCATGTTGTTGTAGATGCTTGCGGTATGATTTTACCTAGTTGGTCTTGGGGTTGAATATTTTTAGGAAGTCATGCCTGAAGATCAAGTCAAGTCCTTTTATGTTGGTGATGGGGAGTGCAGGTTTCCAGCGCAGTGGTCTGATTTGTAGGTGTAACACTGCTTAGCCGTATACTGGTAATTTGCTGCCGTCCACCATCGTTGCAGAGAATGCCGAAGGCTTGTACTCTTCCCGAAGTCAACCGATTACTACCTTGTCGCATACGGTGTGTGATGCTCTACTGTCCACGAGTGCTTGGAAGCGTCATCCTTTGCAAATGACCTCGAGCACGAAGGGCGAGCGTTGCTCGGAGTACCCAAAGATAGTTTCGTTCAATAGGATCATAGGGTACATCCCAATATTCCGTACACACCTTATCCTTGCTATCTACTCTTGGGCTAGCAACTGGCCAAGGCTGCTTGGAGAAAGGCTCTTCCTCAGGGCCCGGAGTTTTCTTGATGACTGTGTGTGTCCTTGATGTCGAATTTGTTGAGTTGGATGCATCAGAAGGAGGAGTTTGGAGTTTTTGCAGATTGTTGTAGACCCCCAACTTCCTCTTGAGCTGCTTCAGCTCCACCGACGTCTTCCCTAGGGAACGGGTAGTCGTTGTGGGCTGGTGTCGGGAGAGGACGTTGACTCCGTGGAAAGGTCGGGTTCTTTCCACACTCCTTAATTTTGTCCCCAAGTTCTCCGGTACCGGTATGATCTCCACAATTTTCTGCTTCTTCTGGATTCCCTCCCAAAATTTCTCCAAGGCTCTAGCCTCTCGAGAATCATAAGTTTCCATTTAAGCATCCTTATAAGGTAACTTTAACGAATCCTGATAATTTCTTGGGTCTTCTCGGAGTTTCCCCGTCTCAGCGGAGTCTTTTTTCGCGGAGTCAGATTTTTTCTCGGCGATTTCCCCTGGCGAAGCCTGGTCGTGGGGCGGAGATTTCCCCCCATCATTTCCTCCTGCTCGCGTCAAATCAGCTTCGTTGAAGTTGATTTTCCCGGAATCCCACGGCCGCTTTCGGATATTTTCTTTTTTTTCGCCAGCTAAATCCGCACGCACTGGCGAATCATGTTTTTTGGCTTCTGATTGGCCGAAGAATTTTCGCCACTCTTGCTTGCCCGATACTCTGCACGCGCGGCTTTCATTTTATTACAGTCGAAGATTCGATGGCCCGGCATCCCGCACGTGACCGCCCGTCGAAATTGTCGATTGCCATCGGGTCGGCAAACGTGGGGTGAGCAGAGTAGTCGCCCTGTCACGTACTGCCGACGTGCGCCCGTCGTGTTCCGGCGTTGACCATGTCAAACCGCTGCGCTGCCGATACGATGTCATTGTAGCTCGCGTAGTTTGTCGCTGCTATCTGTCGTTTGACTTCGGTCTTCAGCCCGACGAGATACAACTGTACTTTTTCCCCTTCGATCAGGTCGGGAATGCGATTATAAAATTCCCCCTTCTGTTGCGTGTACTGTGCTACATTCCCGAACTGTCGATGGCGATGATTTATCAGCTCCCTAATTGTCAAGGAAACCCAAATTTATCGGCTCAAAACGTTTCAGCAGGTCGGTGCGGAACTGTTGCCACGTGGCTTCGCCGTGGATGAAAGTACTGTTGCCACCGATCCACTTGAGCGCCGGCCCTCGCATCAGTGTCGCTGTGAGTCGTACACGTTGACCGTCCCAGACTGGCGAGCTCCAATCCGACGGCTGCGAAATAGATCTCCATGCCGGCGATCCATGTTATAATCACAATAGGCTTAGATGTGCCTATAATGAGAGATGGAGAGCACAGTCGGATTTCCGTCAGACGGCTTCAAATATTGATAACGATCTGGTCGCTGACCTAAACGGTAATCTGTAAGTTGGATCTAGAGCGCGTGGCTGTCGTCTATCAGCAGCAAGTTGAATCATGAAATTCCATGAAGATTTGACGACGCTATGGCGGTTTTACTGGCAGGAGGTATAGCAGCCACTATAGTCTTGGAAGTACAAAACTTAGCAAGAAGAGTTCGAGAGGGAGATGGTTCCCAGCCTCTACATACCCCGAGATCCGAGGTCCAGGTTGGTGGTACACCACCACAGAGTCCCCAACCATGAAGAGTCTCGAAACCAACCCTCCAAGGGGCTACACCAAGTGAAATGTAACACTACACGAAGTAACGTTACTATTTTAACTATTTAATATTTATCCGCGTCCCTTGGGCTTGAAATCTTGAGCTCTTGTTCTTGGATCTGCAAGATAAATTCTTCTTGAGTTGATGGGGGCTTGCTGCACACACCTGCGACACGATGGACACTTCACACTCGACAAAATAGAAAAAAACACATGCGACACACAAACGACGACTTGACATGCGAGTTGTAAAAACTCGCTAATGTCTTGACCGACACAAACCACATTGTGATACACCATTCAAACACACACACAAGCACTGGATAGCAATGACATAGACTCACAATTCATTCCATGCCATGCATGCACACACACAAACAAGGACGACAAGCCGAGTGCAAGCCATTGGGTTGCACCAACAAACTCCCCCTCGGATTGTTGGCCTTAGAATCTGCTCCCCTTAGTTCAGAGCCATCCCAGCAAGCTTGCAACACTTCCAATGCTGCTGCTCAACCAGCCTCTTGGTCATCATATCAGCAGGCTGCGCCGTTGTCTTCACGTAGTGCAACTCCACTTCACCCGCGGTTACCATGCTCCTCACCCAATGCCACTTCACCTTCATGTGCTTGGTAAGGCCATGAAGAACCGGGTTCTTAGCCAATGCAATAGCACCTTGGCTATCACAGTAGAGTGGGGTAGGTCCTTGCTGCTCCTCCCCCAATTCAGCTAGCAAACGCCGTTGCCACACAACCTCTCTTATGGGAGTGCCATGTACTCGGACTCCACCGAGCTCAATGCTTGGTCCACTTGTTTCTTGCTCTCCCAAGCTGTTGGCCCTCCACCAACACAGCAGATGAAGCCTCCCACACTTGTCATGTCCTCTGGTTCTGATGCCCAAGATGCATCAGAGAAGGCGGTGAGAAAGAGCCTCCCGAGTTCGACTCCATCCGCACCCTTTTGACGCCTTTGTGCCGCCGCGGAGTATTGCAGTCCAACAGTTGCTGTTTGGCCAAGGTACTTGGCCACCCTCTCTCCAGCTGCTACCTGCTCCTCATTAGGGCATTGGACAACCCTAGCCAGCTGCCCGGTAGCAAAGGCTGCATCCGGCCTTGTGTGAACGGCCGCATACATGAGGCTGCCCACCAAGGAGTGAAAACGGCGTCTCTCCTCTTCACCAACACTTTCCTCCGCTGGTCCTTTCACACACTTGAACCCTGAGGGAAGAGGAGTAGCCACATGACCTTCACTCTTCCCAAAGTTTGCAGCCAAGGCCTCCAAGTACTTCTTTTGATGCACTCGCATCCACCGCTTCTCCACGTCTCGCTCAATGTGAAGCCCAAGGTAGTAGTTGACGTCACCAAGGTTCTTGCACTTGAACTTGTCTTGAAGCTTCAGCATCACCTCCTTCACAAGGTTAGAGGAGGGTGAGAATATGAGGATGTCATCCACATAAACCACCATGAAGCTCCTCTGCTCCCCCTCGCCAAGCATGAACAAGGATTGATCGACCGTTGAGGGAGTGAAGCCGATCGCCTCCAAGACTTCCCGCAGCTTGATGTACCATTGCCTAGGGGCTTGCTTGAGGCCATAGAGTGATTTCTTCAGCTTCCACACTCTGCCACTCCCATCATTGTACCCCTCTGGCTGCTCCATATAGGTCTCTTCCTCCAAAACGCCGTTGAGGAAGGCCGTTACAATGCCCATTTGCTTCACCACCCATCCTTTGATGGCCGCCGCGACGAAGAGGGTTCGAAGGGTTGTACCCTTCATCACAGGGGCATACACTTCATTGTAGTCCTTCTTCTCTTGCTGCTGATACCCCTTGGCTACAAGTCTGCTCTTGTAGCGCTCAATGTTGCCGTCGGCGTCGGTCTTGCGCTTGAAGAGCCACTTGGAAGAAATCGCCTTACGCCCCGGAGGTAGGTTCACCAAGTCAAACGTGTCGTTCTCGATGATGCTCCCCATTTCTTCATCTGAGGCATTCTTCCACTCCTTCCCATTGGGGCCCTCCCAAGCCTCCTTGGGATTTGTAGGCTCCCCCAGCATCTCCACCGGAGAGAAGAAGGCAAAAGCGCACTCCTCGCTTTCATCTTCCGCATCATCGCCTAGCATGAGAGCCGAACCGGTCAAGGTTGAGTTGGCTGGTCCTCCAAGCCGTTCATAGCTCAACCTATTAGGGGGCTGAGTCCTCCTTCTCTCCCTTCCTTCCTCCTCTGCTGCAGGGACTTGAATGCTCTCATGGCTTTGCGGTAAGTCCGGTCGGTTCCCGCGAGCACTTGTAGCACGAGGCGGAAGTGGCGGTGCACGCTCATTACCTTGCTGCACCTCCTCCTCCTCCTCATCCCCATTCATTTGGGGAGATTGCCTCGTGATTGTGCTGCTGCTACTCAGCTCCAAGGGCAGCTCCACATGCTCCAAGCCGGTCCTCTTCACCTCTCCAAGCCGCACACCAATCTTCGCTTGGTTCTCCGCCTTCCACTCCTTGTACGGTAAGTTCTCCATGAACTTGCAATCTCTGCTCACCAGGAACTTCTTGGTAAATGGGTCCCATAGAAGCCATCCCTTGCTGTTTTGGGCCATGCCTAGGTGCACGGCCCATGTTGCCTTGGCATCAAGCTTGTTGTGCCGAAGTTTCTTAGGCACAAGTGCCATGCACATGCACCTGAACACCCGAAGCATATCCACCTTCGGCTTCCTTCCAATCCACTCCACATAGGGCACCCATTTGTCTTCTCCCACATGAGTCAAGGCTCTGTTCTTGGCCACACAAGCATGCCGCACCGCATCCGGCCAAAAGTAATTGGGTAGACCGGCTTCAATGAGAAGTCCCCGAGCCGTCTCCGTGAGTGTCCGATTCGCACGCTCGGCGATGCCGTTCATTGCAGGAGAGTACGGCATGGTAAGAGAGTGCCTTATGCCCTGATTCTTCAGCCAAGTTGAGAAATCCTTGCTCAAGAACTCTCCCCTACGGTCAGTGCGAATCGCCTTCACAAGTCGGTCTTGTTGCCGCTCCACCATCGGCAACCAATCGGTCTTCACCGTTTCAGCTACGTCACTCTTCTTGGGCAGCACATACACCCAAGTCATGCGAATGTAGACGTCCACAATGGTGAGGAAGTACTCTGCTCCAGCAGCTCCAAGCTTCAAGGGGCCCACCACATCCATCACCACCTCATCAAGTGGTGCCTTCGCCGTTGTCTCCGAGCTATGGAACGGGTAGCGGGTGAACTTGGCTTGCATGCATATTGGACAGCCAAGCACCTCATTGGGCTCCCCCTTGACACGTATCCCACTGACCATCTCTTGCTTAACAATCTGCTGCAAAATGGGCAATGCCACATGCCCCATTCGCCGATGCAAGGTCAGCCAATCACACTCTCCCGTAGCGGAAGTCGGGTTGGAGAAAGCGTCACTCGCAATTGTGCCCCACAAGCTCTCTCCTTTCTCCTTCGCCGCTGCTGCTTTGTTGATCTTAGCCTTCTCCTCCTCATTTCCACCACCTTTGGCTGCTGCACCATTCTCCTTGGGTTCACACGCCTTGCTGGTCTCTCCAAGGTTGCACTCCTTCGAGTCACTCTTGGTGTCACTTTGCTTTCCGTGATCACCGCCACCAACCGCTTCACGCTTGGTGCTGACGCTTGCTGCCACTTGCCTCTCTTTAGGCATGGGGACCACTGGGATTTGCCACATCTCATTGTAGATGTCCCTGTCCTCATGAAGATCCCAAAGCTTCCGCTCACCAAGCCTCGCGGTATAGGTTTTGGATCCCTTGGAAGATGTGTCCATGCCGGCCTTTTGCAAACGCCGAACGGAAATCAGGTTGGCTGCTGGTTTGGGCACCAAAAGCACGTTCTTGAGGCCCAGCATCTTCCCATCAGCACCCTTGAACATGGCCTTGCCCATGCCCTTCACCTCTGCTCGCTGCCCCAAAGCCGATGTAACATGCTTGACCGGCGACGGTTCGAGTTCGGTGAGCAAGTCCGCACGAGGTGTCATGCTGTAGGTGGCGCCGCTATCGATCACCCAAAAGTCCAGAGAGTGAAGGGTGACCTTTCCCACAGTAGCTGGCTCCTCAAAGCCTTCCACACCTCCTGCTGCAGCTGCCGCTTGCATGGAGACAAAGAAGAATTGGCCCGGGTATCGATCTTCACTCGAGTCCTTGTCGTAGTCTCCACCTTTCATGCTTGCCGCTTCGCTTCCACGACCACCACGGCCTCCACGACCTCTGCCTCTTCCTCCCCTTGCTCCTCTGCCCTCTTGGCCTTGAGAAGGGGTCCATCCATCAGGCAATCTGAAGCAATCTCTCCACATGTGGCCGGTCTTGTGGCAAAAGTGGCATTCGCCATCAAATCGACCGCGCCCACGCCCGTAGCCATTGTTGTTGTTGTTGCTGCCATATCCTCCATTACCACGGCCTCCATTGAAGTTACTGCTGACAAATCTTCCTCCTCGCCCTCTGCCCCTTCCACGGCCATGCCCACGGCCCATGCTTGCAACTCCAGCACCATCGGAACCCGCCAATTCGCAACGGCGGAAATCTTCTTGTAAGATTTCCCGCTTCACATCTTCGAGTGAGAGACGGGGCAGATCTCGATTAAGGTTGATGATGAGCGAGGACCATGAGTCCGAAAGTAAGGCCAGCAGCTTGGTCTTCTTTTGAAGGTCACTGTAGTTCAGGTCAGCTCCTTCGAGCCGTGTCAACAAGTCGAAGAATTTCTGCACTCCTTCCTCCACCGGTTCGCCTTCGTCAATTCGAAGTGCCGCCATTTGCCGCTCCAAAACCACAGCCACCGCCGCTGTTGCAGGAGCGGGTACACCCTTGAGAGCAGCCCATGCCTTTGGTCCCTTTGCTGGTTCACGCTGAAAAGGCTTGATGTGACGGATCTGGCTGCTCCCCAACGCTTGCCCAAGTAGAAGGTAGCCTTGTGCGCTCTTCCGCACCCACGGGCTCTTCTCCGGGTCGTTCTCGGGGCGCTTCTCCGTTCCTTCCATCACCTCCAGCAGATCATAGTGGTCAAAGATGTTCTCCATCTTGAAGGACCACTCAGCAAAGTTGTCACCGTTGAACTTGTCAAGGCCAAACACTCTAGGTTCATCCCAAGAGGGTCCAAGGCTAGGTTGCACCGGAGCAACGGGTGGATCTTGGCGTTAACCTTGTGCTTGGGCGTCTTCTCTGTCTCCAGCACCTCTGCCACCCCCTTCCTCAGGTCTAGGCATGGTCGAGACGGCTCCAAGGGGCTCTGATACCACTTGTTATAGTCACAATAGGCTCAGATGTTTCTATAATGAGAGATGGAGAGCACAGTCGGATTTCCGTCAGACGGCTTCAAATATTGATAACGATCTGGTCGCTGACCTAAACGGTAATCTGTAAGTTGGATCTAGAGCGCGTGGCTGTCGTCTATCAGCAGCAAGTTGAATCATGAAATTCCATGAAGATTTGACGACGCTATGGCGGTTTTACTGGCAGGAGGTATAGCAGCCACTATAGTCTTGGAAGTACAAAACTTAGCAAGAAGAGTTCGAGACGGAGATGGTTCCCAGCCTCTACATACCCCAAGATCCGAGGTCCAGGTTGGTGGTACACCACCACAGAGTCCCCAACCATGAAGAGTCTCGAAACCAACCCTCCAAGGGGCTACACCAAGTGAAATGTAACACTACACGAAGTAACGTTACTATTTTAACTATTTAATATTTATCCGCGTCCCTTGGGCTTGAAATCTTGAGCTCTTGTTCTTGGATCTGCAAGATAAATTCTTCTTGAGTTGATGGGGGCTTGCTGCACACACCTGCGACACGATGGACACTTCACACTCGACAAAATAGAAAAAAACACATGCGACACACAAACGACGACTTGACATGCGAGTTGTAAAAACTCGCTAATGTCTTGACCGACACAAACCACATTGTGATACACCATTCAAACACACACACAAGCACTGGATAGCAATGACATAGACTCACAATTCATTCCATGCCATGCATGCACACACACAAACAAGGACGACAAGCCGAGTGCAAGCCATTGGGTTGCACCTACAATCCATCTGCGGACATCGGAATTTCGATCGCTCGGATCAAACAGCTCAAGTGGGCGCGGTTTCAGAGGCTCGAGAAACTGCTGCGACTGCTGCATCGAGCCCTTGTCATTTCGTGCTATGCGCCGGCGAGTCGAGTTACTCGCTCGAACTCGTTTCGCCAAGCTTCGCGATCGGCTCGCATCTCCTCCTGAAGGGCGGCGATGCTTGCGAAGAGCTGCAGGGTAACCTCGGCATGGTCGTAGTTCGCCATCCTGTTCAAAATACGCGCGAAGGGGATAATTAAAAAAACACGGAGTTGGTGCTTACCAGAATTGGCGCCGAATCAGTCGCCCCCGGCAATTTTTCGAGGCTGGTTTTCTCGCTGCTTCTGCTTAGCTGAGCGCGGCTGAGTGAGAAAAGCTCTGATTACCAAGTGTCACAGGATCGAATGTGTCGAAGAAAAGTTGCACTATCGATTGATACAAAGTGCTTATATACTTCCGAGGTACATCAGGTAACCAGATATATCCTATCCAAAAAGAATAGAACCTTCTGGAAATAGAATCACCCTACGTATAGCCACGCGAGGCTATTGGCTTCAAGGAATTACGGCAAGATTACACTAGATATATTGCGCTAATACAGTACATCATGAGCCTGGTCGGTGATATAATTATAATAATAGGATAATCCAAAGCATAATGAGAAATGAGGAATAGGAAACCATATGGGATGAGATAAAGATAAAAGGAATCAAGATAAAAAGAAGAATGACATAGAGGAAAAATATGGAAATGAGAAAGAAGTGTAACGGGGTCGTACTCACACAAATTTGCCACCACGTTCAGAGTGGAGACACAACACGGGGAGAGCGCGGTGGACACGCGCATGCTACGACCCACGGGATAAGAATGTCTGGCACGTCGACCTTCCGCTCCAGAGGAAACGCCGTGGTGTAGCGCGTGTAAGCGTCGACAAGCACTAGAAACTAGCGAGGGTCCTGGGGGAACGTGGTGAGAGGGGTACCTGTAGCGGCATCAGTACAGACTGTGTGCCGCTCATATCCAGGGAACGTAGTGGTGACGCCGAGGTTCTGAAGACAGCCGACACCAACTAGGTTTCTGGAGAACGAGGGGATGTTTAGGCCCATAAGGGAGCCTGAGGGAACCGCCGGACAGGGAAGGGTAGTGGAGCTACGAGCAACTACAAAGCCCGAGGAGGTGTCAGCAAGTGCGACAGCAACAGGGGCGGCAAGCGGTCTGAGCTCAGTGTGGTTGCGGAAGAAGCAGGCAGACACGCCAGAGTCAAGCATGAAGGAGAGCAAAGCGGAAGCTGCATCCAGCGGAGGAGAGAGGGTGGAGCCTAGAGTAAGCAAAGCAGAAGATCCTACGCCTGACACAGCAGGGGAGTCTAGAGTACACACATGTGGCATACCTAAACTAGATCCGGTTACACTAGAGGCATCAGCATACAGGTTATGCAAAGCAGAACAAATCTTATCCATGTCTAACTCAAAAACAAGCACACCACGGCGCACAAGACTGAACAAGACGAGGAGGTCCGGCGCCGGGCCGAAGCGGCAACGAAAGAGGTCGTTGAGGCAGCGGAAGCAGTGGTTGGTAGGATGCGGACGACCACACACAGTGCTGCGGAAGGGGCCAGTCTGGAGCTGGAACTGGCAACCCCCAGCGCTGAAGCTGCCGCCCGACACCGAGCTGCAAGGGCCGCCACCGTGGCCACTACGACCAGAGGCACCGGGCCACCCTGGTGGGAGGCGGCCCCACGACTGCTACTGCAGCTACTGCTGATGCGACTGCTATTGCTCCGGCGGCTGCTGCTACTGCTGCTCCGAGGCACCAGCCTCGGTCCCCTCGTCGGAACCGCTGTCCCCGCCCCCACCTCCACCACCCCCACCACCATGACCTCCACCATGCCCCCCCTTGGGGCGGCTGCCCCTACGCTGACGCGGCTGCGCTGAGGCCGCAGCGGCGGTCTCAGCAGCAGGGGCTGTCTCGGCGACAGCGGCAGAAATGTAAGCGTAAGTGCACTGGGAGGGTGCACAGCCCTGAAAGATAGTACCGCAGTACCACTCGACTGAGCGATAGTACTTTGGCGAGTCTCTATCTCGAACAGGGCAGCGACAAAGGCAGTAAGGGTGAGGTCACCAGGGTGCTAACTAAGGAAGTGGTCGCGGGTAGTGGCTAAGTGGTCTGGAAGGCGCGTGGCTATGAGGCAAAGGGTAGCGCACAGCGGCGGTGGGAAGGCAGTGAGCTGGGCCTCAGTGCTAGCGGCGTGGTAGCTAGCCTTGAGGGCACGGAGGTGAGTGGCTAGGTCAGCGACAGTGGGGAAGGCCGCTAGGTCAGGGAAAAGCATGGGGAGGATCAGGCAGCCAGCGGAGGCAGAGGCGGGCATGGAGTAGCGATCAACTACTGCCTCTATTTACGCCTGAGCGTTTGCTACACCGGTTAAGTGGGGACGCTCAAACAGGGGGAGGGCATGACTAATGGCAAGCTGCGCTACGGCGTCGCACGAATCCTAGACTGTGCGAGCAAGCACAGCAGCGGTAAAGGCCTCACGCTCAGCAGTGGTGGGGGCGTCAGTGAGGGCAACCGACGCGGGGGGCGGGGAAGCAAGCCATCGACATTAACAGCCAGGGAGTGGCCATCTTGGCGCTGACCTATCAGGTGTCGGCGAAGGTCGACAAGCCAGGCGTCGAAGTTGATCGCGCGCCCCTTCGCGGCCAGGCGCAGCACAGTGTCCACCATCGCACGGCCTCAGCGAAACGGCAGCGCGGTGACATGGTGGCACGACGACATGGCAGCACGTCGACACGGCAGCACGACACCACGGCTCCACGGCGCCACGGCGACACTGCGGCACGACTACATGGGTGCATACTAGCATAGTGGCACGGCGGCGGCGGGAGGACGGCAGCACGGTGGCTGCACGGGGGCGGCACGGCAGCAGCACCGCGGCGACACGGTGGCGGCACGGCAGCGGCATGGTGGCGGCACGGCAGTGGCATGGCAGCTGCATGGCAGCGGCACGACGGCGGCACGGCGGCGGCACTGCAGGCACGGCGACGGCACGACGGCGGCACGGCGATGGCACGACGACCGCACGGTGGTACGGCGGCACGGCAGCAGTACGGTGGGACGGCGGCACGGCAGCGGCACGGCACTCCAGACCCTGCACCAGGACGTCTGGGGACCGGCCCCCGTCCTTGGACCGCATCGCGAGCGCTAATTTCTCGTGCTCGTCGATGACTACACTCTCTACACCACGGTGTTTCCCCTGGAGTGGAAGGCCGACCTTCCTGGCGTTCTTATCCAGTGGGTCGTAGCTGTGCGCTTCCACCGTGGTCTCCCTGTGCTGTGTCTCCACTCCGACCGTGGCGGCGAGTTCGCCTCTGGTCGGCTTGGACAATTCTGTCGTGCGGAGGGCATCACCCAGTCGTACAACCTATCGGACTCCCCGCAGCAGAATAGGGTCGCTGAGCGATGCATCGGTTTGGTCATGGAGGTGGCCGTTCGCTGTTCGCTACGCTGCTCACGAGCTTAACCTGTGGCCGCACTCCCAGTGGCCGCATGTTTCGCCGACCCTCCTTTGGACCGGGTTCCCTGGTGACGCGTCCGCGTTCCACGTCTGGGGCTGCCTTGCTCACATTCGTGCCTCTGGCACGGACAAGCTCACTGCCCGAATTGTCCCGTGTGTCTTCCTCGGTTGCCCCCTTGACTCCTCTAACTGGCACTTTTACCACCCGCCATCTCACCGCTTCTTTCACACCCGTGACGTCACTTTTCGACGAGTCTGTTTCCTTCTACCACCGCTTTACCGAGGTCTCTTAGTTTTCCCACCCTTGTTTCTAGTTCCCACTCCCCCGATAGCCCCTATTCCACTCCCTCCCCGTCCTGCTCCGTCCGTCAGCTTTCCCGGTCGAGGATTCGGCTAACTCTGGAGGCCCCGTAGCATAGTTCCCGCTACCTGTTGCTCCCCCGTTGTCTCCTCCTCTGCCGTCGCCGCAGCCGCTGCCGTCGCCGCCGCAGCACCAGCCGTCCGTGGACTTTGGGGGTGCTAGTCCTGGGGTTCCGGTCGTGGCTTGTCCCGGCGGTCTTGGGGGTGGCACTGGTGCTGTAGAGGGTTCTCGTTCTGGGGGTGCTGGTTCTGGGGGTTTTATTCTTAAGGTTCCTGTTGTACCTTGTCCCAGTGGTCTCGGGGGTGGCACCGGTGCTGGAGAGGGTTCTTGTTCTGGGGGTGCTGGAGCGGAGCGTTCCGGAGGTAGCTGTGGTGCAGCTGGCGGTCCTGGTGTCAGCGTGGAGCATCAGCAGCAGCAGTCACCGCCGGTGCCTGCCCTTTGTCTGCTTGGCCTTCCCTCCCCCGACCACCCGCCCACGCCTTTCTCCCCGCCGCCTCCTCTGCCTGTCTACGGCCCTGTGTTTCCTCTGCCGGACTCGTCCCCAGCTCGTTTCCCCCCTCGTTCTCCTCCTTAGACTCCTCCTGTGTCTCCTATCCCGACGCCTCCATCCTCCCCTCGTCCTCCCCTCCTCCCCCTTGCTCGTTGTCACTCCGCTTCCTCTGTCTGACTACCTTTGTGCCGCTCATCCTCTTGTTCCTCGTGTCCTTCCCTCCCTCGTTACCGACCCGGCTATTCCTGTCTCGAGTCTTGACGCTCTTGCCACTGCCATTGCTGACTTCGCCTCTACCTGCTGCCTCGACTATGCCACCGCTCTGGTTTCTGGCCCTGCCTGCCCTCCGTTCGTTGGGGGTGCTCCTGCCCTTGGCAGTGATGTCCTAGAGGACAAGCAGTACGAGCTTGCTTTGCTGTCCGAGGCCGCTCCACATCTCTGTTCCATGCTGCAAGTCCCTGAGGGTGACCTAGACGCCCTTGACATCACGACCCCTTGCACTTACGCTGAGGCAACCTCAGGACCCTGGGCCTCTCAGTGGATAGCTGCCATGGAGCAGGAGATGCCATCTTGGAGATCCACTGGCACCTACGTCGACGCAGTTCCCCCACCTGGGGTGAACGTAGTCGATGGCTGGTGGCTTTCCAAGTTGAAGCGACCTCCTGGAGAGCCGCCTGTGTTCAAGGCGCGCAACGTGGCTAGAGGCTTCAGTTAGCACAAGGGTGTGGACTTCTTTCAGACCTTCGCCCCGACCCCGAAGATGACTACTCTTTGGGTGCTGCTACACGTAGCAGCAGAGCGTGACTACGAGCTACACTCCCTCGATTTCTACACAGTGTTCCTTCAGGGCAGCCTACACGAGCAGGTCTACAGGCGCCGTCCACAGGGATTTACCGGTACCTTCCCTCCTGGGACCCAGTGGGTTGCCTCATGTACTTGATGACTTGCATTCGTCCAGATCTCGCATACTCTCTCAGCATCCTTGCACGCTTTGTGGCCACAGGGAGACACCGACCACAACACTGGTCGACAGCTAAGAGGGTTTTGTATTATGTAGCAAGTATATCAGGCATGGGACTCGTATTGGGAGGACGCATGCCAGTGGTCCTTACTGGGTACACAGACGCTTCGTGGGCAAACGACACGGAGACACTCATATCCTTCCAGAGCTACTGCTTTAGCCAAGGAGCCATCTCGTGGAGGTCCACTCGCTCCTCGTCTGTTGCCCAGTCTAGCTGTGAGGCTGAGATCTAGGTGGCACAGGAGCTCCGCTGGCTGACCTTTTTGCTCACCGACTTAGGTGAGCGGCCTAGCTCTGCCCCGGTTCTGTACGCTGACAACACGGCCATGATCCTTTTGTGGCAAAGCGAAGCACATCCAGCTGCGGTACTTTCTCCTGCGCGAGCTACAGCAGTGTTGCCAGGCCAGCATAGTACACTTGGCCTCCGGTGCCAACACAGCTGATATCTTTACTAAGCCGCTTGCGCCTAAAGATCATCAGCGGCACTGTTTGCAGCTTGGTCTAGTTCCTATAGCTCCCCAGTTGCTAGGACCTTGATTGTGTACTCCTCTTTACGCATACCTTCTTGACTGGCCTTGTGGCTACTCTTCCAGTGGCCGGACTAGTAGTGCCGCGTTGGTTTGCTCTTGTCGATTTTGTACTCTTGCTGACTGATCTTCGGACCCCTACCTCAGAGGTCGGACTAGTAGTGCCACCCTGAGTTGCACGTTTCTTGCTCAGCACTGCCCCTTATCTAGTCTAGGGGGTGTGTCAACTTATATATCCTATATCCAGAAGGTACAACTCCAACCCCATATGCTCTCCTGTACTCCCTTGTTATAGTCATTCCGCTACTCTAAGACTACCAAGCCTAGGGGGTGTGTTAAATCATATATATATTTTATATATGTTTGTTAGGCTTGGTAGGTGTGCTACATTGCTGAATCCTACTGTAGAGGGGACAAACCCCCCTTCTTGTATCTCCTTCTCTTTCTAAATGACCCTCTTTTCTCTCGTCAACTTTTTGCCCCCTAGCTAAACCTCTCGCTAGTCCTATGCCTAGTTCCTAGCCCTATCTTAACATGATCACCCTAGGTCTTTTGGAAAAAGAATTGAAAATCGTTTGGGTGGACATATTGAAGGGAGGTAATTATTAAAACCCATAGACATTTATTTCTACATACGAGATTGTTTTTTTTATGTACACTGAAGCGCCAGCGGATTCTCGTCCGCAGCTTGTCGTAGACTCACGAGTCAAATTCCTGCCGTGGTCAATTTTATGTAGGCCTACTGCAGGAACCCCTTGTGCTGACGCGGCACGAAGGCATTTCTGACAGCTAGGTGCACAGGCAAACGGGGGTGCTTTGAATGCGTGACCAAAATCCGGAACTAAAAACGATTACAAATACACTCTTGAGGGAATTCGGGGGTCCTCTAATGATTTACCCCAAACAGCGGGTCCTCTCAATCCCTTTACGATATTAAGACCCATGGTCTGCAAAAAGACCCAGGGTCCCTTTTTCGTGGGGGTAATCATGCCGGGAGCAGGGCATATTTTATCGGAGTAATTTACTCTGTTTCTCTAAAAATCAGAGTTGTTTTTGAAAACTACTCTAGGGGCCCTGAGTAGACAATTTGAACTTCAAATTTACTCTGATTTATCTGAGTTAACTTTTGTACCACTCTGAGGGTCAATGAATAGGGGGGATATCTTCAGATTTTCACCCTGTACCTAGCCGTTCCCGTGTATTCCGCGGAACGTGTCATTTCACATGCATTGACAAAATCACCGGTCCGTGCTCGAGGGTGTGTGAGGGGGCTGATTGGGCGTACCAAAATCACCACGTCATTGTGCTGGAAGGCGTGTGAGGGCGCTGATTGGCCCATCACCAAATCTGGAGTCGAGCAAGATGGGTTGTTTACTATGTGAGGGCGTCGTGGGCCCTTCACAAAATTCAACCAACATGTGCTTGCGGGGATGTTTGTGAGGGCAAGATTCCCCTTCTGCATCGTGGGCCATTCACCAGGTTTGCGGGAAACCCCACCCGTCGTTACCAAGCATCGTTCCGTGTTTCGCGACATCTCTAGCGTGCTACGGTCCACCCGAGCGTTGCATACGTCGACTATCGCTGCCGTTACAGCCTCCGACAGTACCGAGAGATAGCCGGAGCTCTGGTAATGGGGGCCACTCATTAAAGTCAAAACATTTCCGCGCCAGAGCGCAGCACGTTGAGGGACACCTTGCAAAGAGCGCAACGTGCCTCAGTCCTCGCAACAACCACTGGCTCTACGTCAGAACGTGATAATTAGTCGTCAGACCGTGAAACACGGGAAGAGGTTAGGTCTCCTAGCCGGGAACGCAAGGAGAAACGCGGAAGGAGGAGTGCAGTAGCAGGGGCGAGGAGGTTACCTCTCGCTTTGGCAAATCATGGCGAAGTGAGAGGACGGATAGGGAGGAGGGCCACAAGGGCAGCAATCGATGGCTGGAAATCGCATCAGGGCGCAGTCCCTGTTAGAATAGCAGAATGACTAGACAAAGGTATTACAGGGGAGGATATAGGGTTGGAGTTGTACCCTCTATGAACACAAACCTATCTAGCCTATAACTTCTACATATAAACATATTTATAAGTTGACACACCCCCTAGGCTAGATAAGGGGCAGTGCTGAGCAAGAAACACGCAACTTAGGGTGGCACTACTAGTCCAACCTCTGAGGTAGGGGTCCGAAGATCAGTCAGCAAGAGTACAAACACGACAAGAGCAAATCAGGGCGGCATTACTAGTCCGGCCACTGGAAGAGAAGCCACAAGGCCAGTCAAGAAGGTATATATAGTATAAAGAGGAGTACACAATAAAGGTCCTAGCAAGTAAGGAGCTACAGGAACAAGACCAAGCTGCAAACAGTGCCGCTGATGATCTTTAGGCGCAAGCGGCTTAGTAAAGATATCAGCTGTGTTGGCACCAGAGGCCAAGTGTACTTCGCAGGCCTAGCGGCGTTGTTGTAGCTCGCGCAGGAGGAAGTACCGTAGCTGGATGTGCTTCACTCTGCCCTCCAGTTGAGGCTCCTGACACAAGAGGATCATGGCCCTATTGTCAGCGTACAGAACTGATAAATGTGTAGTGTTCTGTGGTGTAGTTTGCTCTAGCTGATTGTGGGCTATTGGGATTTGGGCAAAAGATGTGGGTTGGTTGGCTAGGTTTGATCTCGTTACCTTTCCAACCCATACAACCCCAAACCCACTACAACATCTTTGATGTTGCAGATGTGGCACTTGGGAGTGTTAGGGTTTGGTCCAGGGCGAGGGTTGGTGGTGTTTGACAATCTCATTCTGCAACTTTTCCAGATCGAACTGCTTCCCTTCTCGTTTTTACTAGGTGATTCATGGCTGCCTAGCCAAATTACCAGAATATCCCCTCACACTGATTTCGTCATAATCGGCGGCTCAGATCTTGGTTATGAACGTGCTTTACTATTCTGGAAATTAGAGATTAAGACCTTTCCTACGTGTATAAGCTCATTTCTAGAAGTTACTTGAGCTGCACGCAATGTTATGTTGAGATCGTCAAACTTAATCTCTAATTAGTTCTCTCCAGATTTGCACGATTTCCATCAGTGGTATCAGAGCCACGGTTAGAGGACGTTCTTTCCTCCATTGGAAGAGATCTAGAGAGGCTTAAAGTGCTCCAGATCTAGGGTTTGACATGGCCCAAAAGTTGGATGGCCCTCCTAGGTTTACCGGCTCAGACTTTTCGCTATGGAGGTTCCAGTTCACACTATGGCTAGGTATTAAGGACCTAGAATGTGTGTTGGATGGATCGGAGAAGCGACCACGAGCTGACTCTGGGGAGGCGTCTACTGGAGCAACCAGCCAAGTGGGATCCAGGGCTGGGGGAGCGTCGTTGAGTGGGGTGAAGGAAGGAGGAACTGCTGCAACTCAAACCGGAAGGTCGCAACCAAGTAGCGAGGAGTTGCTCAAAGCTCAAGAAGCATGGGATCGGAAGGATCGCCAGGCTTTTCAGTACCTGTGTTGGGCTTTGGAGGGGCAACTTGAGCTTCTTAAGATGCTGATTGACCTGAAGGGGAAGGAAGGTGCAGCGGCTGCAGCTTGGAAAAGAGTACAAGATAGGCACTTACAGAAAGGGCTTCTAAGCGTGCTTACTTGGCGGAAGCGGTTTTACACCATGAAGCGGAACTATGGGGAGGGGGAGACCATGGTTCAGTATCTCTAGAGGGTGGATGAGAATGTGCGGGCTTTGGAGGAGCTGGATTACACGGAAGATGAGAAGGAGATCATCTATACTGCGCTCCAAGGGTTGGATCAAGCGGCTAATGAGGCATTACTACAGTACCTTCACCTCGAGCAACAGAAATGGACCAAGGTGTGGATTTGGGAGGTTCTAATTTCTGATGAGGCTCGCAAGGTTGATGCTGGAAGAGGTCTAGAAGGAGGCATGGGTGCAGCAGATAAAGCTTCCTTCAGGAAAGGCTATCAACAGCAAGGAGGTGGGGGGAAGAAGAAAGAGTTGGACAAATGCCTTGTGCCCGGATGCAACAAAAAACACTCTTGGAAGAGTTGCTGGAGTAGGCCTGAGGGATGGAAGCCTCACGGCTACTCTGGAGAGGCACCACCAGTGACCAAACCTGATTGGGTGGAGAAAAGGATGAAGAAGGGGCTCTGGAATAAGAAGGGCAGCAAGGGAGCAACGGCCGCAGCTGCTAAGGATGAGAAGGGGAAGGGCCAAGACGACTCCTCCGATGATGGTTTCTCGTTTCTCATGCTAGGGCAGGATGCAGCTCTCGCTGGTCGTGCATTGGCTGATCCCAACTTCCTGGTTCTAGACTCTGGAGGAACATCTGGGATGCTTCCTCGCCGTGATCTCTTCACCTCCTACCATCCTCTCCCACCAAATTCGAGGAACGTGATTGTTGGGAGCGGAGATTTGCTGCAAGCAATTGGCATCGGCACGATCATCATTAAGGGGAAGGAGGGGGAGCTAGTGGGTGTGAAGGGGGTCCTTCACGTCCCTGGTTTGGCTGCAAACCTCCTTTCATGCTCGCAGCTGGCTAAACAGGGATACATCTGCACTTTCACTGAGGGAGGGTGTACTGTTAGAAAGGGTGAAGCTGTGGTGATGGAGGCAAAGCTGGACAAGGGTTTATACCTTGTTCCAGCTTGTGTGCCTAATTGTTACAAGGCACATATGGTTTTTTATGAGGAAGCCGCTTGTAGCACTCGCTGGAGGCAGGTGGAAACGGTGTCACCTGAGTTGCTACACCTTCGCATGGGGCACGCGGGGAAGCAGCAACTGCTGGAGTGTGTGAAGAAGGGGGAGCTGAAGGGGGTGGAGGTCAAGGAAGGAGCTGGGCAGCAGAGCAAATGTCCCGACTGCACGTCTGGAAAGCTGCCTAGAACCTCATTCCCTATCTCCTCTGATCATGCCTCGACTCCCCTTGAGCTGGTGCACACGGATGTGTGTGGACCGATGCAAACTCCTGACCGGGAAAAGGGCAACAGATACTTTGTCACCTTTCTTGATGACTTCAGTCGACTTAGCTGGGTCATCTTGGTGAAGACCAAGGATGAGGTGGCAAAGGTGTTTAGGCGGTGGATACGCTATGTGGAGAGGGAGTCAGGGGCCAAGGTGAAGGTGTTAAGGTCAGATCGGGGTGGAGAGTACCTTGGGAAAGAACTTCAAACCTTCTTGGAAGAAAAGGGTATTACCCACCAGCTCTCTGTACCTTACACGCCGCAGCAAAATGGGGCAGCGGAGCGGCTTAACAGGACCTTGACCGATTTGGCTCGGGCCATCCTTTCCCATGCCGAGCTTGATAACACTTGGTGGGGGGCAGCAGTGCAGTATGCCAACTGGGTGAAGAACAGGATGGGCAGCAAGGGGCTTGGAGGCAAGAGCCCATACTCCTTATGGACAGGGAAGGTGCCGAATGTTTCCTTGGCACGAGTGTGGGGGTGCATGGCACAGTATAAGGTACCTGACCAGCAAAGGAGGAAGCTAGATCCTAAGGCACAGTGAGGGATCTTCCTTGGGGTTTCTGAGAGGAGCAAGGCTTGGGTGCTGTGGAGTGTAGCTGACCAGCGTGTGATGGAGAGCCGTGATGTGGTTTTCCATGAGGGGCTGAATTTTAAGGGGTGGAAGGAGCATGGTACAAGCCAAAGTGGGACTTCCATTCAAGACCCTCATACGGCTTCTATCTTTGAGGGGGCATGGGAGGACCCTGGAGATGAAGGGGAGGAGCAGCAGGAGGAGCCAGAACCAGCTGATCCTAATCATGAGGAGTCCCGAGAGACAGATTCTACCCCTCAGCCAGCCACGCAGGCCGATGCGCGTGATGATCAGCCGGAGCAGCATGTGCCTTCAACTCCATCGAGAAGCAGTTGGCAGCAGTTGTTGAACCAGCAGCTGTCCAAGACTCCAAGGACTCCAATGAAGAGGGTGACTTGGGAGGAGAAGCTGCGGAGGCTGGAAGAAGGAGAGGCAACACCTCTGCGACGCAGTGCTCGAATTTCCCAGCCACCTGAAAGGTTTTCACCGGGGCACATTGCACGCATGCATGAACATCTTGTGTCTGATTTGGATGATTGCATGCTTGTGGACATGCATGGGCATGAGTATGCTCTTGATGTGTGTCTAATGGGTCAGGTGCATGAGCCTAGGTCAGTCCATGAGGCGCTGAACCGTCCCGAATGGGTTGAGTCTATGCATGAGGAGCTTGAGTCTCACAAGGTAAATGGATCATTTGAGCTGGTTGATCCAGCCGTGGTACCACCTGGTTTGGAGGTCCTCAGGTGTCAATGGGTTTGGAAATACAAGCATAACCCTGATGGTACCATTGAGAGGCCTAAGTCCAGATTGGTGGTGATGGGAAACACGCAGAAATTGGGAGTACACTATGAAGAAGTGTACTCTCTAGTTGGGAAGCATGCGACCTTGAGAGGTATGCTTGGAATTTCAGCTGCTTTGGGGCTTGATATCCATGATATGGATGTCAAGACAGCCTTCCTCCATGGGGATTTGGAGGAAGAGCTTTACATGCGGCAGCCCCCTGGTTTTGATGATGGCTCTCACCGAGTGTGTCGCCTCAAAAAGTCCATTTATGGGCTAAAGCAAGCCCCACGACAGTGGTACCTAAAATTTGATGAGGCTCTCATGGATTTTGGGTTTGAGAGATCTGAGTGTGACCCTGCCTTGTACCACTTTGTGAGAGATGAGGAGCGGATCTCCTTATTCCTCTATGTGGATGACCTTTTGCTCCTATGCTCTAGCAAGGCTTTGCTAGATCGAGTGAAAGACTTCTTGTCCTCGCGTTTTCGCATGAAGGACTTGGGGGAGGTGAAGTACTACTTGGGAATGCAAATTGAGCGTGATGAGAGTGGTATCTTGATTCATCAAGAGAGGTACATTCTTAACATGCTTCAGTCCTTTGGTCTCTCAGAGGCCAACCCCGTGCGTACTCCTCTCCCAACAGGCTTTGATGTGCATGCCTATGAGGATGAACCCTTGCTGCGAGATGAGCTGGTCAAGCTCTACCAAAGCATTGTGGGATCCCTCATGTATGCTTGTACTACCACACAGCCACAGATTGCCTTTGCAGTCTCACAGCTATCTAAGGTCGCCTCTTGTCCTAAAATGTTTCACTTGCAGGCCGCTAAGAGAGTGCTGAGGTACCTGAAAGGTGGTGTCAAGTCAGGTATCTTTTTCCAAACACAGCCCCAGTCTCAGGTCCAGCTAGTTGGCTTCAGTGATGCTGACTATGCTGGAGATTCCGCAAGTCGCAGGAGCCACAGTGGGTATGTGTTCTGTCTGAATGGGGCAGCTATCTCTTGGCAGAGCAAGAGGCAGCCCGTGGTAGCACTCTCTACCACTGAGAGTGAGTATATAAGTCTGTGTCAGTGCATTCAGGAGGGTGTCTGGCTGAGGCGTTTGTTTGGGGAGTTTGGCCATGATCATGCTGGTGGTGTGCCTGTGTTTGTGGATAATCAGTCTGCCATTGCCCTTGCACAGAATGCATGCTTGCATGGCCGCACCAAACACATGCAGGTCCGGTGGCATTTCCTTCGGGAGATGGTAGCTGCGGGTGAGGTGATTTTGCAGTGGTGCCCCACCAACCATCAGGCTGCTGATATTCTTACCAAGTCTCTTCCATTTGAGCGTCATGGTGTGTGCATGACCTTGCTCGGGATGCAGCCCCATGATGACAGAGTTCCCGCAGCAGATGCCGGCATCTTGGTGCTCCTCTCCTTGGCGGACTCCATGCTCTGGGTGGCCCCAACCCATGGGCAAGGGGGAGTGGTGTGAAGTCTTTTGCCCTATGGTGTTGAGCCACACCCAGCACGAGCAAGGGGGAGTGATAAATGTGTAGTGTTATGTGGTGTAGTTTGCTCTAGCTGATTGTGGGCTATTGGGATTTGGGCAAAAGATGTGGGTTGGTTGGCTAGGTTTGATCTCGTTACCGTTCCAACCCATACAACCCCAAACCCACTACAACATCTTTGATGTTGCAGATGTGGCACTTGGGAGTGTTAGGGTTTGGTCCAGGGCGAGGGTTGGTGGTGTTTGACAATCTCATTCTGCAACTTTTCCAGATCGAACTGCTTCCCTTCTCGTTTTTACTAGGTGATTCATGGCTGCCTAGCCAAATTACCAGAATATCCCCTCACACTGATTTCGTCATAATCGGCGGCTCAGATCTTGGTTATGAACGTGCTTTACCATTCTGGAAAGTAGAGATTAAGACCTTTCCATCGTGTATAAGCTCATTTCTAGAAGTTACTTGAGCTGCACGCAATGTTCTGTTGAGATCGTCAAACTTAATCTCTAATTAGTTCTCTCCAGATTTGCACGATTTCCATCAAGAACCAGGGCACAGAACCTATGCGTACAGAACCTAAGTCGGTGAGCAAGAAGGTCAGCCTGTGGATCTTCTGTGCCGCCATGGCACCAGCGTATATCTCAGCCTCACACCTGGACTGGGCAACAAATGAGGAGCGGGTGGACCCCCACGAGATGGCACCTGAACCAAGGCTAAAGCAGTAGCCCAGGGAGGACGTGAGTGTCTCAGTGTCATCTGCCAACGAAGCGTCTATGTGCCTAGTAAGGACCACTGGCCTGCGTCCCCCCTGCATGAGTCCCATGCCCGATGTACTTGTTAGATAACGCAAAACCCTCTTAGCGGCCGACCAGTGTTGTGGCCGGTGTCTGCTGGATGCCACATAGTGAGCCAGGATGCGGAGAGGGTATGCGAGATCTGGGCGAGTGCAAGTCATCAGGTATATGAGGCAACCCACCAGCTCAGCGTAAGGACCACTAGGCTTTACTGACTCCTCAGGAACTAGAGCAGAGAGCCTGTGATCTACTGGCAGAGGTCTGGGATGTGCAGAGGAGAACTGGAGACCGAACCTCTAAAGGACCTGGTGCACCAAGTGTGACTGTGTGAGAGTGATGGTGGGCGCTGCTCTGTCCCTGGAGATCTGCAGGCCAAGGTAGCGGTGCAGCTCTCCTAGGTCAGTGCAGGTGCGTCTCTGTCTGCAGTAGCGAAGACCAGGTTGTCTACGTAGACAAGGATGTAGAACGGGGTCTGGCCAGCACAAACGGCAAAGATCAACAAGCACGGCCAGCACGGCCTGACTTGTCGATCTTCGCCGACTCCGCCACCACGGCCACCACCTCCAGGTACTCCTGGCCACCCAGGTGGGAGGCGGGCCCACGGCTGCTGCTGCTGCTGCGACTGCTACTGTTGCTGTACTGCGGCTGCTGCTGCTCCTAGACACCAGCCCCCACCCCCTTGTCAGAACCACTATCCTTGCCACCACCACTACCACCACCAGCGCCACCACTATGCCCTCCTTTGGGGCCACGGCAGCCCCGACGCTATTGCTGCTGCGGGAAGGCCGCAGCTGCGATCTCAGTGGCAGAGGCAGCCGTAGTGACTGCGGCGGAAACGTCAGCGTACGTGCCCTGGGAGGTAGCACAGCCTTGAAAGATAGGGATTGCCGCAACACCACTCGACTGAGCGATAGTGCGCTCGCGAGTATCTATCTCAGATAGGGCAGAGACAAAGGCGGTAAGGGTGAGGTCGCCAGGGTGCTGGCTAAGGAAGTGGTCTCGAGCAATGGCTAAGCGGTCAGGCAGGCGCATGACACTAAGGTACAGGGTAGCGCAGAACGGTGGGGGGAAGGCAGTGAACTGGACGGCAGTGCTAGCAGCATGGTAGCTAGTCTCTAGTGCACGGAGGTGAGTGGTGAGATCAGCGACAGTGGGGAATGCGGACAGATCGGGGAATAGCATGGGGAGGATCAAGCGCCATCGGAGGCGGAAGCAGGTGTGGAGTAGCGCGCAACTACTGCATCTAGGAAGTCTTTGGCGTTCGCGACAGCAGTGAAGCGCGGACCCTCAGACAGGGGAAGCGCATGACTAATGGCAAGCTGCGCTACAGCATCGCGAGAATCCCAGACAGTGCGAGCGAGCGCATCAGCAGCAAAGGCCTCACTCTGAGCAGTAGTGGGGTCAGCAGGGAGGGGATCAGGCATGGGGGGCCATGGAAGCAAGCCATCAACATGCATAGCCAGGGAGTGCCCATCCTTGCGCTGATGTGTCAGGTGTCGACGAAGATCGACAAGCCAGGCCGCGAAGTCGATCACGTGCCCCTCCGCGTCTAAGAGAAGTACGGCGTCCGCCATCGTGCAACCTCAGCGGCACAGGTACACGGCGGTGCAGCGGCATGGCGGCACAGCGGCACGGGGACACAGCGGCACAGGGACACGGTGGCACAGCGGCACAACAGGGTGGCTGCAGGACTCTCTAGCGAGAAGACCGGGTGGGAGGCCGAGAAGGGCCCGAGGTGCGCAGGACCCGAGGTGTGCAGAGCCGGCAGGGCGCAAAGGGCCGGCGGAGAGCTGGGCGGCACGGGAGGGCCGGCGCGGGAGAGCTGGGGCCCAGGGGTGCGGGAGGGCCGGCGAGGTGCGCTAGGGGCCGGCGGTACGCTCGGGGCCGGCGGGCGAGCTAGGGGCCAGCGGTATGCTAGGGGCCGGCGGGCGCGCTAGGGGCCGGCGGGGCGCGGTAGGCTAGGGTACGACGGAGCGGTAGGCTAGGGCGAGGGGCGGAAGCGGTTAGGCGGACCTAACCTACTATGATACCATGTTAGAATACAGGAATGCCTAGAAAC